CGTACACCATGTACTTCTTTGTGAAGAAAATAACTAACACGGTTGACAAAAGGCCATGTATGGTGGCCATAGTATGGTAAGGATTACTACGAACACCGTTTATTGAATATTGTATATTATGGGTATTGTTATTCTGTTTTAATGCTTATTGTGACTGGATTTGACGCGTATGGTTTGGAACATTCACTATTAGATACGTTTGAGATTCTGAGTACAGTGAAGAATCTAATGATTTTACAACGATGTTTATTATTATTTTTTTTTATACTGTGACAAAAATGTTAACCAAAAATCTTGCTTCAATATGTAAGTTTAGCAGCTGTTTTGAAAGGAAGTCTTGTCTAGATGGTACTTTAAGGATGTTACTTTTAGGATTTTTTGATTTTCCAAGCGGTTTTCATAATATGTGGGAAAAACCGGAATAAAACGTAAGAAAAACGGGAAAATTTACGGAAACAATGCTTTTATAATTCAGTTAAACATTTGTAGTGACTGTTATAGATCAATTAAAAAAATGAAATTGTATAATAAAAAAAAAATTATGATTGCTATGTCATTGGCGATCGAGTTCATTTTTATCAAATTTTATTGAAACAAATTACGGTGACGGTTGACAATTTTACTGTATATAATATTTTTGTAGATTGATTGTTCCGGGAATGGAATTTCTGATAACATTCTATAGATTCATAATTATATAGAATATTATTTGACTTTATCAGTCTTTTAACTAATAATAATAATCGAAGTTCTAAAGTTATCTTTACAGAAAAATAAATATCACTATTTAAAAAAAAAATGATAATTTTTTTCAAAACTATGGGCTTCATACATTAAAAATAATTTTAAAATACTTATAAAATTAATGTAAATGTTCAAATAATAATAACTAGGATTTAAATAAAATATATTTTTATTTTATTTTAATAATATAACTAAGATTTTAATAAATTACATTTTACTTTTATTTTAAAATTAATTTATGCTTATGAGTTGTTAAAAAAGTAAAAAAGTTTTTTTTTTTATATAGGATATTTATTTTTGCGGTTTTGGGTTGAGTTTAGGTTGAGTCCTGTTTTGCGCATATGGGTTACAGCTAGGGTTGCCACCTCTTCGGGTTTCACCAGGATACTCCGGTTTTACATATAAATCTACGGGCTATGGGTTCAATGAATTATTCTCCGGATCGTTGTAAAATTATTAGTACTATAATACTATAGTAACATATTGCATATAGTTTGTCGATAAGCAACGAGAACAATATTTTTTATTCGCCAAAATATGAAATAAAATACGATTTATTGACCATTGTTGTACATTAAATAAAATTTAATTAAAAATGATTAAAAACCACGAATTTAATAAAAAATGTTTAAAAATAAAAAGTTGATACATCAAAATGTTTAGAAAAATGAACTCTATAAAATGGCTATCTTCAAATTTTTCAAAAATAATAAAATAGAAAGTTATTGTTTTTTTTAGTTTTTTATCAAAGTATAAAAAATTAACTGGACAATTATTATGATGTAATAACCCACGTTGTATTTTATATTTATTTTGTATTCCATTGTTTGTTTAATGAAACATAACAGTTAAGATTCACAATACAGTAATATTCCTTCAATGAAAATTATTTTAAGATTCCTATTTATACGTATGCATACATATATATTATAATATAGAATATAAAACTCACTGGCCACGTTTAAGTATGTTGTTCCATGTAAATAATGTCTCATCAGTCGGGGTAAATTATAAAAGAGACCCAAAGACAAAATAAAAAAGTTATCAGCATTTTCAAGTATGGGCCTTTATTAAAATTTCCAGGTTGGCCAAAAATGGTCTATCTGCCCATGAGTATAAGTATATATGTATACATAGTTTTTTTAAAATAGTTTGTACTGTAGATATTATCAGAAGGTTAGGTTAGCTAACCTAACCTTAGGTAGTACACGACGGTTTTCGTTATATCTACTTGTTATAGGTCACCCATATATAATACTCGTGAACCTTAATTGAAAATCGAAATACTAAAGTACCAAAATATTGTTGTCCGTGTATACAACTTGAAAAATAAATATATGCTAAATGGATACAACATATTAGTATTTAAAATATAGGTATACGAAGATATGTATTTTATTTTGTCATTACTGTACATAATTGTTTGTCACTTTTTTCAAAGTCTACATTTATAATATTATACTTATATAGTGTTGCTATTTTTATACAGGTATATATCACTATCTCCTTCTTAAATAAATGTACAGGTTTATACAAGGTGATCCATTTAAGTGGATACACTCATTATCTCGGAAAGTAATGTAATAACTTTTTCAAACATTTTTTTTTTGATAATTTAAGGAAAAATGACTTCTAAAATGTTATTTACCATTACTTGTATCGCCCTAATTTTTGATGGTAGAACAACTACCTACTTCAAATAGCACATAATATATTTAAAATTCCATAAATAGATGGATTATCAGTTAAAATAAATTTCAACACCAAAATATATTTAAACTAATACTCCATCTAGTCTATCTATTTATTTTGATCAAAGGTTGTCATTTGAAAAGCAAAAGTAGGTAGTCAAACACTAAAAATCATTTCAACGGCAAAAAAAAAAAATAGTAATGCAACATTTTAGATTTGCTTGTTTCTTAATAAATTATCATTATATTGAAGTACGAAAAAAGTGAATACTTTCCGAATAATGAGTGTACTCGCTTGAATAGATCACCTTGTATAAGTATAATATGTATACATTTACATATATTTACTCATAAGCATAAGTTAACCTAAACTATTATCTATCCTACACTATCTTATTAGCTGTTTTAATGAGTTTGGCCCCACTATGTACTTAAGCTTATCGAAAAATATTTAAATAAATTTGTGTTTATTTTATATGAAACTGCGAGTGAAACCGTGAAAACCAAGGTGACATCATGCATCGTGCTGGTTTTATTTTAAATGAAATGGTAAAAACTGTATATATATATTATTATATGCCTCAGTAGAAAATGGGAAGCATAACTGCACAAAAGTGGCGTAGGAATTAAATTTCAAAATTAAATTAAATTAATTTAAATTTGTTGAGCGTTGATCAGCAATCAAAATTACAATGAAATTAACAAACAATATTCATTCAATACCAAAGATTTCCACATAATCAATACAAATAATGATTTTATTTACTTTGTTACCAAGATAACCAAATCAACAAAAATTATACCACAAAACACCAAAATCTCTGTGTCAGCAGTGGTCGAATACTACTCCACTCAGAATTAGTTTTCAATTACAATGATTCATCGTTTTTTCCTCTTTATATTCTATACCTTTAAAACTTCTTATCCACTATATAGTAGGCCTAAGGCGAAGTACCTCCGGTTTTTTTTTTTTTTTTGGTAGGACTTGTTGGAAACATTTAAAATGTTGCAATATAAAATTATTATTAATAATAATATTATGCTGTTCGTACGATTGTGTTTATAAATTATCGTTTATCTAGCTGTTTTTAAGTAAAAGTAAACAAGTTCATATGGTGAACCTTATTGACAGATGTTAGATACTTACTTATTATTTCATAGAATTGATAGATGCATTTTTTTACGTCTATTAAAATGTATATAAAAACGACATGACTAATTATTATTACTGTAAGCAATTATCTTTTGACATTATGCTAAACTTTAGAGATAAGGTCTGCGTAAAATAAATGCTTACCTATATATTGATATTAAACTGTTACTATTGGTATTTTGATTGTAGATACTCACATGATGTAAGTAGATACTTACATTAATCACGCAAGTACAACTAAATGTAATAATATTATTAGGTAAGTACCTAAATGTCTCATTTTTTCGACATTGAAAATATAATATGACACAATAGTCACATGTCATGACAGTCATAAAGTGACTCTTGCATCCCGCATTATTTGACTAATGTATCTCGTTCTAGGTCTTCCTCTTGCTCTTGTACCCTCTATCATTCCTTCGATTATTATACTACGCAGTTCATCTCCATGCCTTAACGTATGTCCTATCATCTGCCATCTCCTTTTCTTTATAATGTCTATCAATGTTCGTTTTTCATCTATTGGCGTCTCGTCATCTTTTTCGNTATCTCATATAATAATAAAACATGATGATGAGAACCGGACAACACCCCTCCAATATTTTCCCCTTTCTTTTTTCATAAGAGACTCCTCTGTTCATTTCGGTCACCGGATCCTGCCTTGGCGACTCGTCTTTTTTTCGTCTTCCCGCGAGTGCGTGTTGTTCCCGCTTCTAACATTCCGATATCGTCATTTTTAATTTAATCAAGTGTTTATTTTGTCATTCCTACTACCTATTGTCATCAACATAATAAATAAATATAATTATACCTGTATTCAAACTCAACATTGTTGCTGAGGATACTCCGTTCAGGATAGGTAAGTGTATTATTGTTATCCTTCATAGTGTATATCTTATGTTAATTGTTTCTTACCGTCGTGGGCTGTAATAAATAATCTAAGTGATTAGTGGGTATACATTCATTTATTTTGTACCCCTATATTCACTTTATTACAACACACATACTGTACAATATTGAAAGGGCTTCCTTTGTAGTATTTATAATTTTTTTTTCCACGTAATATGTAAAATATGTGCTCTATTATAACGTGACGTGCTATCGAACGTTTTGATCTTATTGCATCAATTATACAATTTGAAAAAAAGCATAAGTTAAATTTTTGTTTACAAGTCGATGACCAGTACAGTTTTAAGGGACACGGGTAATTGAGCGATTTCGGGGGTGCCGTGCGGTGACGTTGTCCGTTGGAGTTCTAACTCCACCGGCATTTCGACCCTGTCGGGATTACCGAGTACGGGGATTTTGAACGCCTCCCCCCCCCGGCGCGTGACACCCGCGGACCTCACGCACCGCATTGCGATCGCCCGATAGCGAAACGCCAAAACGACGACGGTTAGTCGGGTGTAGAACGATGACAAATTGCGTCGACGTTCCGCTGACCGGTTAGACGGGTACGTACGTCCCACGTCACCGCGTATCACGTACGTACGGTCGCGGCGTGCGCGCCGAAGCGTTTGGACGGGATTATTTTCGTGCGCCCGCCGTATAATCGCCGCCGTCGTAATATTAATAATAATTGTCATAAAGCGGCGCTGGTGTAAGAAAAACTGCACTGTTGCGTGTGCGCGCAACGGCGACAGATCGCGGTCGTCGGTGTCGCGGACAACGTCTCGCTGGGGACCAGTTTCGCCGATCAGCGCCGCTCGCGGTCGTCCACGGGTAAATCGATTTTTCCATTAATATTATTATTCTCCCCCCCCCCCACCACTCGCTGCCCCTTCAATGCGCCGCGGTAACCTACAGCGACATTGGTAAGTGGCCTAACCGACTACCGGATAATCAACGCCGTCATAGAACGGGAATCGTCATCGTTTTTTCTTAATAATACCAACCTACTCCGGGTTGATTTTACATTTCTAGCGGTTTTTTTTTTTTACTTTTCATTTTCGCGGTCGTGATTCGATCCGTACAAACCGCCGTCGACGCATCTTGGTGTCTCGCGGGTCGCTAATAATAATTGTTAAGTAAAGACAGGTACGTATCTACCCATCACCACAGACGTAGATTACCATAACCAGTACCCAGGTAGCGAACCCGGGGGCGGTGATCATCGTCCTCTCCCCCAACTTCCCCGTTCGCCCTCCAACAATATTCTCTTGGCTCGATTTGTACCGTAAATGTGTGCCTTTACCGCCTTGCGTTATACACATCCCTTCCCGTTCCATCGAACCGCTTCCGGTAATGATAATAGACAATGTTGTCGTGGAAAACAATACAATAGCTGGTATATTGTGGTGTCAATACTAGTGGTATCAATGCACGTTGGCTGGTATTCTGCCTGCGATAATGCAGTATCGTAACCGATAAATGACCATGTATCGTGCAACAGCTGCGGGCGCGATGACGTTTTTTTATTTATCGTATTATTAATGTTTATCATGCGGCCATCGTGTTATCAGTATATCGGTGATAAACGACTAAAAATCGAAATACCCTCTCCGGTTTAGAAAATTTCGGCAATAAAATAATCCAAAACGAACGGACAAACGGACAAACAAGCAATAATGTTTCGGTAGTATATTTCCCGTGGGCCTATACGTACGTCCAACGAAACGCCCGTCAACGGGACGTCTCCGTAGACACGAAAACGGCGGACGGCAGTCCGTTATCCCGCCCGCTCTCGCTGTCCGGCGGGCCAACGTTCTTTCGCGCGCGACGTTTGTTCGTTAGTTTTTCGATAGGCCGGCCGGTAGCGGTTGTCAGGTGCCCGAAAAACTAACACCCGAGCGGTGGATGTACCTGCGTACGCGGTTTTTTAGACGCCGGTGGACGGGGTGTTTACGTGTTTGGCCGGTAAATCATCGCCGCCGTCTGCCGTCACCTCCACCGCCAAACTGCGGTTTCACGTAACGTACACTGTTCTGATGCATATAGGTAGGTATATAATAATATAAATGTTTTTTGAAATTTGTTCAGCTCTGCGTTTTGCACCGCACCGGTCGCCACGGTCCCATATAGGCTAAGATACTAAACTCAGATCCTCCGTAAGTATAGATCGGTCATAATATACATTAGCTTCATAATGTCATCTTTGCCCGCACTTGCCAAAATGAGATTAAAAACTCCTAGTTTATTTATTTATTTTCAAGTCAACATTTCCATAATTTGCATTACCTAATTTTAAATTAGGTATTATATGTCGAGTAGAGGAATAAATAGTTGTTACCTAAGCCATAATATTATTATAATAGGGTGCATTTATAGGTGCTGATAGTCTTAATTAAACTTGAAAATTAGTAAAATTTTTAAATGACTTTGCACAACTATACACAATGTATGTGTAGAGTTTTACAGCAATTCTTTACTTTTCTTTTAACTATAAAATACATTTGTAAGTACATCAATTCTGTAGACAATTTCTCTCAAAATTGATGTGCTCCCTTGTGCTATACAGCCGTGTGTATGGTTTCAAAAATAAACAAATTTATAATTTTTTTTTCAGTTCATTCATTGTTTGAATACACTGAACAGAATTTTATCCCAGGACAATGTCAATAAGTAGTGGCGGCAGGTTTTTCACGGTCGCTCTGTTTGCCGTGACATTCAGTGTTACGCCAATACTCACAGAACGTATCGGCCTGTATGAGGACACCGACCTAATGGAAATACTGGATGTAAACAATTTTTATGACAAAGTCATTAACGGAAATACTTCATTTGTTGTCGAATTTTATAATGCTTTTTGTGGACATTGTATGCGGTTTGCAACCCCATATAAAGAATTTGGACTTCAAGTTTATGGTAAACAACAATTTTTAAAATGTACTTATCAAAATTACCTACACCAATATAAGTTTTAATCGCTATATTAAAGTTATAGTTTGGCTATTTTATCATTTGGTTGTTTAGTATTCCCAATGATAACGCTTAAAACGTGTATATTTTTTTCATAGATTCGTCACGTTATTTTTTTGACACATTCAATAATTATATAATTGTGCATATAAACAAGTGTTTTTTATACATAATGATTTAAATACTTTACTAAGTTAGTTTTTAAAAATTATCTAATTATGTAATTAGTGAACAACTAACTGATGTGAACATTTTTAGTACCTACATGGTTAAATTAAAAATAAATCTTTCAGATAATCAGATAAAATTACCTTAGTTTTCCTCCATAAATCACCTATAAAAGTACAATATTGTTGAAAGAGATAGATAAGACTTAATAAAATACTTTATGTAAAAAAAAAAATAATACATTATTATATAGTTACTTTTATGTTACCAAATTTTTGATTATTAATTAGATTATTAGGTTAATATTCTTACAAAGTATAGTATTTACATACACTCTTATACAGGGTGTCCCACAAAGATATCTACATTGTAATATCTCCAAAGATAATAAAGATACTTAATCAAATTCAGTTTTTTTTTTTTATATATTACTCACAAGGACTGCAAATAATTATATTTGATTTTTTATGTTTTAGTAAAAAACTTAAACATAGGTAGATAGCAATTTTATAGAGTTTATTCTTCAGAAAATGTTGACATATCAGAAACCTAATTTATTATTATCATATAACTGTTTATCATTTATTGTCATCTATTTAGTTTATTTTATTTTTTATTTTATTATTTATTTGTATGTTTATATTTTTGGATTTGATCTGTTACCACCGACACAGATATGCAGAGAAAACATTTGTATAATCATTTAGCTATAATAATAATATTCAATAATATTGGTATAATTATAGGTACTTTTTTTGAACTTGAAAAATGATTAAAACTCACAAATTCAATGAAAATGAAAAGTTAAAATGTCAAAATTTTCAGAAAAATGAATTCTTCAGGGAGATACCTTGTTTAATAATACTAATTTTAAGAAAAAGGCTTTCCTTTTGTACCACTGGTAGGAATATTACCAGAGAATATTTTTCTAGAAATTATGATATGCATCACACTAATATTAGATTTGATATTAGATTGCTTATTGATATAATAAATTGCCTATCTATGATCTTTCCCTACTTCTCCGGTCTAAACTTTAAATTATTATAACTTATAAACAGTAAATCTGATATTAGTGTGATGTACATCATAATTTCTAGAAAAATATTCTCTATTCAAATCAGTGTTTAAAATGAGGGTTCCTAATGGAAAATCAAAAGTATGCACTTATTTAAAGTATATGGAGGTGAGGTAAAAATTAAAAATGGTTTTAAAATAAAGCTTAAACAATTTTATAATGATTAGAAAAAACAGAAATTAAATTCACTTAAAATTCTCTGAGATAATTACTGATTCATGATAAAAAAAATCACCTGTGTAGCCATCCTTAGCTATTATATCTATTTTTTTCTTTATCTGTTAATAGTTTGATTTAAATTATAGATGTTTATTTGATTATTAGTTTTGTTATTAGTTTTATTGAAAAAATAAATCTGTCAAATAATATTGGGTGGGAAAAATGTTATCAGTTCAGCAAAAGAAAAATAATATTCCTGATCATAAGTAGTTTACTTTTAATAAAATGTAATGGTGTTTTGTTTAATATAGGTACACATTTGAATAATTATTTTGATGTTAAATAACCTTAGTGGTTTGAAACTTAACTATTTTTCCAATTCTAAATATTTCTGGAATTAATATTATGAAAACAAAGTGTAGTCACAGATATAATATATATTAAAGAATGATAATAATCAGAATATTAATTATATCATTTTGTTTTTTAAACTTTGTATTGTTGTATTGTATACAAATTAAAGTTTGTTTAATGAATTTTTTTTTTTATAGGATGGAGAAAATATGTTAAAGTTGGAGTAATTGATTGTTCAAACCAATCAAATAGTCAAACTTGTCGAAATTATGAAGTAATGGCCTATCCTACAGTACGTTATTTTCCTCCTCATCCACCATCAAATTATATTGGAGAAGATTTTTTTAGATCTATGAATCCACAAACTATGAAAACTGTTCTTATCAATAAACTTATAGAAACTCAGAAAAATGGAAATTTATCATTCCTGTGCGACATACAACCATATAAAAATAATCTTGTAACACTAGATTCTGATAATTTATTGACATTTGTCATAATCGATACAGCAGATAATAAAGTTGCCCAAGAACTTATTATTGAATATTGCCCTGTGAAAAAAGTTAAAATAATATATGCATTAAATAATAATACAGCATTAGTTGAACAATTTAAACCTATAAGTTATCCTAGTCTATATCGGGTTACAAATAACAATCAAATAGTATTATTAGCAAGTGGTAATAATAAAACTCTTTTTACTGAATTCATCAATTCAGATCTTCATACAGCTCATCTAACACCATTCAGTATTATTGATATTACAACTAAAATATATAATATGTTATTCTCTAGAGGTGAAATGCCTAAGGATAATGCAATAGTTTATTTATCAGATTTAGAAGCTACTATGAGGTATTCCTTGGACCACGAAGTCATATTACGTAATGCTATTTCCGGTGATGCGTTGAGTGCATTAAAGTCCTATTTAGAACTTCTTATCGAATATTTTCCCACAAGCATAAGAGGTAAAAAATTTTTAAAGGTAATATCGGAACACATGAGCAACAGTGAATCAGTATCTGGAGAGGAGCTAGGAAATTTTATCAATAAATATGAATTGTTTTTAAATCCATACGTGACTAAATTAAAATGGATTGGATGCGAAGGGAGTCATCCAATGTATAGAAGATATCCATGCGGTTTATGGACTTTGTTCCATACACTTACAGTGCAAGCGTCTACAAAGAACTTGCAAGCATTTAATGGTGAACAAGTTTTAAATACCATTGCTGGTTATGTTAAACATTTCTTTGGATGTACAGAATGTTCTGAACATTTTATGCAAATGACCACTACTATAAAAAATAATGTTTCATCATTTGACGATGCAGTGTTATGGCTATGGTCAGCTCATAATCAAGTGAACCAAAGACTTGCGGGAGACGTTTCCGAAGATCCTATGCATCCTAAAATATTATTCCCACTAAAAGCACACTGTGAAACATGTCGCCAGAATGATGAATGGAATAAAACTGAAGTTTTAGCATATTTGAAAAGAATGTATTCCACAATCAGCATTAAACAGACACCAAATGATAATGTTAATATTGAACCGCTTAATATGATAGCAAGTAAACATTTAATTGACGACAGCAAGTATATTGTATTCGATGAAGAAGAATGGAAGATAGACGTTAGCACTTGTATGATATCATACATTCTCTCCTGTCTGGTTCTAATGGTCCTATTTTATTTATTGGTAATTAAGAAACGATGTAAAAAAAATAAGTATATTTATTTTATACTAGGTAAAGTTTGAATGTCATTATCACACCAATGTTTATTTTAACTAAATAAAATTACTTTATTTTATTATTATGTTTTTGATTCACAAAATATTATATATTATATATTTTTATATTACTTAAATTAAAAAATTTACATTATTTTAACTATGAAGGCTGTGTTTCATTAAATCTATTAAATTAATAACACATATTTTTTAAATATATTATTATATAATTGCTAGGTACTTGCATAATATTTTCAAAAATAATATATTTATTGGTTGAAGTTTAACTTGTCTAATAATTTAATATCAGTTTAAATTGACATAAAGTATTTAATAAGTTCTATATTTTTGTTATTCGTGTATATTATACAGTTTTATTAATAGATATCTAAATCATAGAAGAGCACAAGATTATTATTGGTCTACAGTCTTCCAACATTTTTAAATTTTTAAATCAAAATATTTTAATGAAAGTAATTGTACAATTTTAGTCAGAATAGTGCCAAAATGTATTATATCAACCCAAAGAAAATATTTTTATTTTACTTAATAAAAATAAAAACAGTTAGCTATGCTTTATATTATTTATACTGTTTTTTTTTTTTAAATGATCTTTACTATCTACACTTATGTGTTAACCAATTGGATAAAACTTAAAAAATTAGGCACCTGTAAGTAGGTAATTTAGATAGAATATAAGATAAAGGATGGCGTTTGTGAAAAAGAGTACAAGTACAATTTTGTTAAATTTTATATTCATCACATTGATTTATTGAGAAATTTTATGACAAATTGATTGTTTGCGCTGAAATGAGTTTATCTGATTTTTAATACTTTGAGCATTTAGGCATAAGCTAAGGTAGGAAAACCCATTTGTGTAAAAGGTTATAAGTCTATAATAGTATATTACCTATTTAGTTTTTTTTGTCCCCTGAAAAGTTATAAAATTTGACTTGTACTATTTTTATAGACGTCATCAAACTTATAACTAAATTTTATTTTTAGGTTATTTTGTAGTTATGTAGTAAATGAACAAAATAGTGTTATTACTTAGGTACTTTTAAATTATTATTTATAATATTCTCATTTAATAATTGTTAATAAATGCAAATACCTTAAATAAAATATATTTTGAATTTTCAATAGTAATGCAATATTCTGTAAAAAGAAAGTCTTGAGAAGGATTTTGAAATGCCTTTTACTGTTAATATATATGTAAACAGAAATTGATGATTTATGAATCATAATTTTATATAACATCATACTATAAGTTAGACTATAAAAAAATTTTGATCCAACAGGTTTTCCTATCAATAAAATAAATATGTGGACATATTATTTATGGTATTATAAAGGCAATGGTAAAATGGGAAAAACTTTGAAGAGAGACTATATTCACCTACTGAAAATTGAGGGACATTTCTTCTGAGAACCCATTACGGGGACAGACTTCTAAAATCTTTTTCTCTTGCACATATTTGTTTATAAAAATGATATACTAATATGGCTTAAAAATAAATTCCTACTTATATGACTGCTCAGAAAAATAAAGTATAATAGAGTCAGTGTTTACATATAATTAAATAAGTATATAGTTTTAATAAAACTAATCCAAATGTTTAAAATTTCATTCAAAATGTCTCAGTGACAATAAAAAAAGCATCCTTATCACCCCGGTAGATTTATACAAATTATGATTTAGATAGGTAGGTACTGATTTTATTATGTTTTCTTATTTTTATGTATGTCAACTGATTTTCTATTAGAAATTTTGCTATGATCATCAAGTGTAGCATTTTTTTAAAAGTAAATTTTGTTTGGTTGGTGTGTTGAGAGATTATTTTTTGATTTTCCATTGACGTCTCTATTTGTCTTTATTTGTTCAGGATCTTTGATACTAATTGATTACTTATTAAAGAAGATATTATAGTGACCTTGATTTTAGTGTAGTTTAAATGCAATTTAGTTTAATTATAATTGCCTACGAAATAATAATAATAATAGTGACCTTTTCTTGTATAACGTTTTAATTAATTTTTTAACAGAATTAGTTAATATCATCTTCAGCTACTCACATGTTATGTTCTAACGATTCTGTTATCTGGGTACAGTAGGTACCTATGTTAAATATGTATGTATATATTTTATATACCTTCCTACTTTAGATTTTGTATATAGAAAATAATGTCTTATTGGTTTTACAAAGATGTATATTTTTTTTTTATTTATATTGTGTACAAAATTTTTACCAGAAATCTTGCTCCAAGTATCAAGAAGTATGGCTCCTTTTCTGAAAGGGAATTTTCCCGAGGTGGTACACTCGAGAGGTTATTTTTTGATTTTTCCATGTGTTTTCATAATAAATGGGAAAAACGGGAATATTTATTTAATATTGTACCTTTTTTACCGTTTATTCTACGTTATTTATCGATTTATTTTCCGATAAACGAGAAAAAACATCGGAAAATAATGAAATGACCTCCTTAAAGTACCTACCAAGTTAGATTTCCTCCAGAAAAAAGTGCTATCGTTGGAAATCGGAGCAAAATTACTAGTAGAATAGTAGTCTAAAGAAAAACGAAACATTGTAAAACTAAAACATCCTTCGCTCAACTCAGAATCTAAAATTTAAAATAACGAAATATTATATGGATTATTATACTAAACATAGGTACGCCATGTATTTGTTCCATAGATATGTTAAGAAATGGACTGCGTGTTCCGCATACTCTGCCGATGGTTTTCCGGTCCGAACATTGAGTGAGAGAGATAGACTATAACGTAATTGAATTTAAGAACAACTATGTTGGCTTTAGTATACAACACAGTAGTATACGATTTTTAGGTCTAATGAAATAGTGTATATACGCATAAAGTAGACACTCGGTTTAATAGTGCAATGAGGATAATTAGCGGAACAGTAAAAAGCACACCGATGAAATGGTTACCAGTCTTAACTAATATTCTGCTAAAAAACGAAAATGCCTCTATTATACCAAATGTTGAGAAATGCACTTAATTTTAGATTAAAATAAAGGAAATCTCCACGGAACACAGCTAAGGAACTATTAAACGTTGAGGAAACACGAATATGGCGTGAAAATTGGACATCATTAGATATTATAAATAGTTTTCTAGTGCCTAACCCAAATAAAGGTGTACAAGGTATGGATTTACCATGCATGCGACTGGAGTTTAGGAAAAATGTAAATGATAAAAAAACCATGTGGTAAAAAAAAACACTATTTTTATTTTACACATTATAATATAAAAAGTAATATTATTGGTTAGTACCTATATAGTACCATATACCATCTATATGGTACCAGAGTACCTATACAATATTTTAAATGTTTTCTCAAAAATAATTATCGGAGCAAGTTATCGAATTCTGTAGTCCATAATCATAATCGAATGTAACAAAAATTACTACTATTGTAGTATACGTACAAAATATATAAAAATCAACTTAAAATAAAGGTTTGACTATTGCATATTATGTACCTACTCGTATAGCACATGCCGAACGCCGGTTGTAGATAACAAAAATTCTCGATAGTATTCATTTTTTAGGAAATGTATTAAATGCTGTAGCATATCATAAACGTTTTAAATAAATACATTTTTTTTATAGATACCTATATATTTTTTTACACTCCATGTGTAATATCTATGTGTGTATATCATTTATTTTCTTTTTAAATTTAGATTTTTTTTTTAAATTTAATACACATTTTTTATTATTGTATTTATGCATGTTGTAATAATAATATAATATACCTATTGATTTTTAAAAATAAATAATTATAAATTATAAATCATACTCGTATAAATCCAAATTTCTTTTTTCCATCTGTTCTTATTTTAAGATAAAAATATTTAGATAATTTATTTTTTCCACTTTATGCTATAGCATGTTTATTTTAAGTTGATTTTTATATATTTTATACTTACATTATAATATTAGTCATTTTTTATTTTTTATTCTATAATATTTAAAATAAATAGATTGATTTTTTTACTTGTTTGTTTTTCTGCTGCTTTTTTTTCGAACCCCATGCGATTGAGGCTACAAAAATCAAACAATGCATAATATTATAATAGATTGCCTAAGAGAAAGTTCAGTCAAGGTGTTAAAGGGATTCATTCAGCAAAAAACGATGCATTGGAACGGATTAAAAAATTAGACAGCCATACTACTTAACCTAACCATCGCCATATAAATTATGTTCCACTACTAACCTCCTTTCTACAAAATGGTGAACTTAAAAGTGGAATATCTCGCCAACGGACTGACGAAAATTAAAAATATCAACATTAAAATACTACCTATTTATGTGATTTTTAATATAGGTTTCTATTTTAGAATTAAAAGTGGGTAGTGTCATATTTGATGTATTATTGATGGCTTTATTTTCGAAAAATAAAAATTAATACCTACTCCAACAAAGTAGGTACCAACCTTCTTATCTAAGTATCAATGCAATAAATGTGGATTATTAATTTTATTCCGCATGCATACAAATTAAAATTAAATATTTATAGGTATCTATTATTTTTAAAAGGGTTTTTAATTTTCTGTAAATGCCTTGCACTGTAGTCAGGGCAGTGGCGTACCCAGGAATTTTTATTGGGAGAGGATGTAACAAATAAAAATCTTGAATAAAGAATGAAATCGTCTTCTCTACTTAACTTCTTTATGGGAATTGCTAATTAAAAGCCTAAAAAATAGCCAATTTATAATTAATGTATCGAGCTTTTCCTCGTAACTTGGTTGAAATTCATGCGGCTGAAAATAATGATGCCTACGAGGCGAGAGAATCTACCTATTTTTTTTTTTTAAATGCTCGATATTTATCAGATACGCGTGTAATTTAATGCAACGTTACAGGTAGGTAGTTTTATTTTATATTTACGTAACTGTTGTTTATTTTATGTTTAGTTAGGTGGCGTATAAATAATAATGATTTGTGCGAAATTGGTACATAATATATGATTTGAATAATTAGATAACTATCGGAATGTTATTTTATTTTTTGTCACATACTAACTAATTATTACACATTATAAGCATTTAATAAAATAAAATGCTTTTTTATTATTTCAGTTGATCGAGTTTTTTCGAAGAAAAATATACTGCAAAATGCAGTTACTCTGGCTGTTTTTATTTATAGGAGTTGTTCAAGTGAGAATTTATTTTATTGTTCATATATGTACCTACTCTTAATGTAGGTACCTATTATTAATTAGACGTTTGCCTATTAATAAAATACATTCAGTACCATCCTACTTATACAAGGTGTTTTCCGTAAAATACTAATATTATTGCGGAAAATGTTGATTTGCTCACTCTTTCGTTTAATCGTAAAACTACTACATCTTATTTTTGATATTTAAATGATAACGAGTATACAAAAATTTTACGAATAAATAAAGTTTATAGTTAACATAAATTGCTTGTGTTGACTTTTTCTATTTTCAATAGTTCATTGTCGAGATTATTATACCATTATTTTTCAATTTATTTAGATTATGTCAGCGCCTCTATTTGTTTTACTGAAGGAGGAAATAGTGTTTCTCTCCCATCCTGTGTTTATAAATTACAATGCAATTTATTTTAGCAAAAACAATGCATTTTTTAATAATCTTGTTTTTTATCCACGATAATAGTAAATAATCATATAAATAAAATCGTTCAATAATGTTATCGTACATCATAGACATAACTATACGTAATTCTAAGATTACAATTAAAGATATTTTAATTAGTGGTTATAAATTTATGATAGTTGTGGGTACAATATTTATCTTATCATCGTATCAAACGCTGTCCACGACCATGGTACTAATGTTTGTTACTGAACATAATCAAATTAGTTGAATTTATTTCAATAATATCATAAATTATTTGTTTTATAATTTAGGATGTAATTCGCATTTTGCTATCGAATTATAACAATTTTTTAGTTTTACAATGATTATTCAATATTTATTTTGTATTATGTACGCTATTTTTGTAAGTAACCTATTTAGGTATAAGTTGTTACTGTTTGTATTAATACATTTTTGTTTTAATAATTTAATCTTGAGTACCTATTACTTAATATTAACCCTAATACTGATTTTTATATTGGGAGTGTGGGGGCGCCTTTTTTTTATAGCTTATAGATTTTTAGTTTTATCATAGCCTGTTAAATATTAAAAATATTAAGATTCGCTATATTAAAGACACTCTTACAAATAAAGTACCCCCGGTGACCGCCCTGTTCACTCGTGCCCTATATATAATAATGTTTGTAATAATTATTTGCTAAAATTACATTTCAACAGTAGGTAAATATATGTATATTATATAGATTATAAGTGGTACCTAATACCTTGGTCCTTGATACATACATACATTGTATGCAACGTAAAATAGCGTAAGACACTCTTGGAAAGTGTAATATTTTTTCAGAACCAGTTTTTTAGAAATTGTTAGAAACGAGTAGCTCTAAAATGTCACATAACCATTATTTTTTTTCACCCTAATTTTTGGTGTGATTAACCACTTTTGGTTTTCAAATAGCAATCTACGTTAAATATCCCATAAATATATGAAGGATCAGTTTAAAAACATTTTAGTGTAGACTTTTTTAATTTCAATTACCATATAAATTATGTTCCACTACTATCCTCCGTTTTACAAAATGCTGAATTTAAAAGTGGAATATCTCGCCAACGGACTGACGAAAATTAAAAATATCAACATTAAAATACTACCTATTTATGTGAGTTTTAATATAGGTTTCTATGTTAGAATTAAAAGTGGGTAGTGGTTTCACCCCTAAAAGTAAAGGTGACAAAATATAATGGTGATTTGATTTTATAGAGTTGCTTGTCTTTTAGATTCTGAGTGGAGCAAAGTATGTATTGGTTTTACAAAGATGTTTATTATTATTTTTTTTTTATGTGAACACTTTTTCTACCAGAAAGCTTATTCCGATGTACACAATGTTAGACTTTTTTCTGAAAGGAAATTTTCTTGGGATGATAATATAAGAAAGTCATTTTTCGATATTCTCAGGAATTTTCTCATAAAATGTGAAAAATTGAAAAAAACCGGAAAATGTGCGGGAAATAGGTATCAATGGAAAAATATTTCGACATTTTATTCCTGTGAACAACTTTTCTACCAACAATTTTTCTTCGATTTACAATGATAGATTTTACTATAACATGAAAAATATATTGTTGACAAAGCATCACTATCAACTGAACTCCGCTCCGACTCATTTTTAGTAAGCAATGGTTTATCGTTGCTTACAGATACAAATAATTTTCCCTCTATAGTCTACCTTCCCAACTTTTCTATAACAATAGTGCTCGCATCCGTTGTAACTTAGTATAGTTTTTTTTTTATAATTTCTAAAAAACAAGTTCCGAAGAAAGTTAATACTTTCCGAGATGATGAGTGTCTAACATTATGTTGATTACTCTACATTCTATTTGAAATAAGATTAAATCGCTTGGACGAAGAAAGCGTTTCACATTCGCATATCTCCCTATTAGATTTCTCTCACAGACCGCGTCTACTCTTTCTAAGAACATTGGTGACAGCTATGACGATGTGGGCTGATTATTGGTGGTTTGTGTCGACTATGTACGGTAAATCATATAATGCGTAATTTCGTTTAAGGGATTTGAACTCAATCGCTGCTCAGCCTGCTTGAGTGAAAGCGGTTTAATCTTATTTTGAATTAAGTATAGCTCGGAGAATTATTATTATACCTATTGAATATATTGTTCTACAATGTTACATATAATAACACTACTTCCAATAGTATTTTCCATTTAAACAAATATTGTTGTTTAATCACTTAACTTATGAGTTTAATTTAGTGATTTTCGATACAAATATTTGAGTATTAATGAAACGTTTTACATTTATTTTATTTAGTGCGATGATTTATCCGATAGTAGAGTCATATCAACAACTGAGTACAATAGTTTGGCTTTACCATGTGCTATCGAATATATTTCGGCGTATACAGTTTCGGTCCAAACAGCATATATCACAGCTTTCGAATGTTTGACGTCTGCAAATTATTTTGTGAATTATGTACAAAGTGCTTTCAGTAATTGTGATACCTCATCATCGGTTGTTAGTAATTCGCATTCAGAGTTGATGGCATCACTGTCAGGCACATCTGATAATAACGCTCTTCAGGGTATCGATGATATGATAAAAGGATTAAAAAATGATGAATTTAAAGAATGGAACGAAAGAATAGATGCTGTCGCTTTTATGACATGGAATTATTATAGAAAACCAGACGTTAGCCCAACCGATCCAGGGATAAAACTTGGCGATGCAGCTGATGCAACTACTGCTAAAACTCTTCTTATTACACGGCGATTCGAAGCACGTATGGATCAATTCATGGCTGAAGCTAAAGCGTTAAAAGCATTTTATGTTAGTAATAAAGTTGAAATAGACGAGAATAATGTTAATCAAGAGCAGTATTCACATCTTGTATCCCAATATTTTCGTGCACGGGAAGATATAGTTAAAAAAAGTGCCGTGTTTACTGCAATTAGATATGCATTTATGTATGGCATTGGAATAAGTTTGTGTGACGGATCAGCCCAACTTGATGAAAAACTATTGGTTAGTACATAATTTGTTATTGTAAAATCAATTATATTATTCAATTATCATTGAAAAATGTATAATTATGATTATTGTTTTTTAGCAAATTTATAAAGCTCAAGATTTATCTACATTTTTTGGTATAAATGATTTGGATTCGATGAAGCTATTTAGTCAAACTGTTACTCATATGTACAGCATTTATAAGATTTCATCAACTGTACTTTATTTAAATTCTGTAGGTCATACACCTCGAGAATTGTCACTCCGGATTTTGTGTTGGGAACAACTGAATTTAGTTCGAGCAAACTATGAAGTTATGTGTACACTTATTCTGAAATTTATAGAAATAACGCAGACGAACATTGAACAAAAGTTTGGTAAAGATACAGAAGATAGTAAAAAGGCGATGACAGAATTATTTTGCAGTGTAAGTAGAATGCTGCTAGTCGCAGTGAAAACAACGGAAGTGGTGTATAAACAAACGTGGTATTATAAACCAGATGGGAGCATGATTACAACGAGTTATAGTAGTGAAAATGGCATTGATGTGATTAGACAATTTTATGTACAATTTACTTGGGAAAATCCTAATTTAATGAGTTTTGACGTGCGTGTTATCAATAAAGATAGCACTTCACTTCCATCATCAACTATAATCTTACCACAAGATTTGTATCAATTGACAGTAAATAAATTAATGATACAGGCTTTTTTTTGTGAAATAAATTTTATAATTGTAAAAATACAAACATCGTTAAATAATGATAATAATGATTCGACATCTTGGATTTATTATTCAATAACATTAAAGGAAATGGAATTTGCAATGATATTTGCAAAATACACAGCAATATCAAATAAAATTATGATTATAAATACTTCAACATATGCGTATCTTTTGGCATACCACAGTAGCCAAGATTCTGGAAATACACCTGTTGTTGGTAGTGGTGGTAGCGGCAGTGGTGGTGGTACCGGTAGTGCAAGTGGTGGTGGTGGAGGGGGCGGTGGCGGCGGTGGCGGCGGTAGAAATAACTCCAGCCCCACTGGAATTAATCTTGGAACTAATTCAGATACAAGTCCAGGAAACAATCCAAACATAAACCCAACACCAAACCCAGATGGAAGTCCAGCTCCAAACCCAGATACAAGCCCAACATCAACTAGTCCAGGAGCCAGTCCTGGCACTAGCCTAGCTGGCTCAGATAGCGTTATCAGTGGTGGAGGCAACAGCGGGGGAGGAACTAATCCAAATACAAATCCAGGATCCAATTCAGCTCCATATCCAGACTCAGGTCCAACACCAACTAGAGCGGACTTAAGCCTAGGAAATGGTCCACATGATATTTCAGTTGATAATAAAGATGTGAGCACTCAAATAACTGAAATTATGAATGAAAATTCAGTTGACATAATTGCAATATTGGCTATACATACTTCAGATTTAAGTACAACGTTTCAAAATGTTGAAACTCATATAAATCAAAATACTAAGCCAGTACTGGAATCAATAAATTATCAAATTGGAATGATAGCAATAACAGGTCATGATAATAATATTGTCATCAATAATGGTGGTGCTGGTGGCGCTGGTGGCGCTGGTGGCGCTGGTGGCGCTGGTGGCGCTGGTGGCGCTGGTGGCGTTGGTGGCGCTGGTGGTGCTGGAGGCGCTGGTGGCGCTGGTGGCGTTGGAGGCGTTAGCGGTGGTGGGGGCGGTGGCGGCGGTGGTGGTGGTGGCGGTAGTTATGGTGGTGGTGGTGGTGGCGGGGGTGGAAATAACCCGAGCACTCCTGGTACTAACGCAGGAATTAATACAGGCACAAACCCAGTTCCAAACTCTGACACAAGCCCATCATCAAACCCAGTCCCAAACCCAGTCCCAAACCCAACACCAAACCCAGATACAATTACACCACCAAGTCCAGTCCCAACCCTAACACCAAACCCAGTTCCAAATTCAATCATAAGCCCACCATCAAGCCAAGTTCCAAGCCCAACGCTAAATTCAGACACAAGTCTAACACCAAGTCCAGTTGTAAGCTCACCACTAAACCTAGCCCCAAGTCCGGTACAAAACTCAGCCATAAATCCAGTTCCAAACCCAGACAGTCCGGCTCCAAGCCCAGGCAGTCCGGTTTCAAGTCCAGAAAGTCCTGCTCCAAGCCCAGGCAGTCCGGCTCCAAGTCCAGAAAGTCCTGCTCCAAGCCCAGGCAGTCAAGCTCCAGGCCCAAACAGTCCAACTCCAAGCCCAGACAGTTCAGCTCCAAACCAAGAGATAAGTTCATTTGCCAACAGTCCAGACAGCGGTCCCGGTATTACGTTCCCTGGTAATCCACGAACTGGACCTACCGGTGATTCGAGTGATACTGTTACTACCAGAGGTACGTTTATTAGGATAACAGATAGCGTACAAATAACAAAATCTATACAATATTTCTATGAATCTATAACTTATCAATTTACATTGACTACATCTGCAGTGCAAAGTATAAGTCAAACCGAGTATTCCAAATTCATAGTAACTTCTTTGGAGAGTTGTAAAAAACAATTCGAACTGAATATTAATTATTTAAATTGTGTTACTGAATTATTTGTGAAGTATTTAAGTACTTGTACAGTTGTTGGCTCTGATACTTATATTCAGGCTCTAAATGAATTTAATAAAGATGTAACAGAAAAATTAGTAGTTATTTCTTCAGTGACGGATATAATATTTAAGAGAATTACAATCTATCGTATAGAAAACTGTTATATACCTGTAGCACCGACTATTTCATATGAACAATTTGTTACTCAGTTTTTTAGTTTCTTTAAATTAGATTTTACAGAAATGATAAACTCAAGTAATAACAAAGCCGACGCATTATTAACTACTGTTGTGGCTAAATTTACAACCGTACATCAAACAGTAATTACAGCAGTTCAAGGAGTACAAGAAAGTGATTACAAACAAATGACTTTAACATATTTAGAACAAACAATAACAGTATTTAAAGAGACGACCGATACTTTAATGACAGAAATTACACAAACGCAAGGATTTATTAGTCAAGATAGTCAAACCATCCAAACAGCGTATTTCCAGGAAATCGTAGAACGAATATCAATTGTTATTTCAATTTATTCAACGGCTCTTGTCAAAAGTTTTACATACGCGCAAAACTCTCAGACAGTTAATATATACAAATCTGAAGGTGATACTACTGCTACTGAGTCTTCATTTAGTGAAGTAGTAACTAAAGTTACTGAAATAAAAGTGACACGCGTTTCTAATGTGAATTTACAAATTACGCAGTTATCACCAAGTGGGTAAAATACGAGTTTTGGAGTACTCTAGTTAGTAATAAACAATCAATTTTAAAAAAAAAGGTTATATTATCTCACTGTATGTATTTTAAATGAAATAGAATAGATGTTTCTCCCGTAATTTTCTTTTTAATAAACAATGTAGATACCTACCTGCCTGCCTATTTATATTATATTATATATTATACTTACTGTTTACTAAAATAATTATAACGATATGAGAATGGGAATTCTCTGCAAATCGATTTGGTGTATAAAGTACGCATACAAATTATTAAATATTATAATTTGAAATTGTTTAAAAAAATATACAACTAAACAATATAACAATGTAGTCACAGTTTTATGATTATTAGGTACCACCTAATTTATGTAGGATAATTTATTAAATAAAATACATATTGTTACTATCAATATTGAACATACTCTTAAATAATGTACATACTTTACTATATAATAATTTTTAAATGTTTGTTTTAAAATTTCAAGCATTTTTGTTTGGTCAAAAAATTTTATTTACATAAAACCTACCAAATAAATACTAAATAAAAATACTCGAAAATATAAAATGCCAATAAATGATAGCTCTACAATTTAAAGAATGTTTTGAAAAATATCAGTATTTTGTGAAAAAGTCAAGTATTTATTATTTTCTTTGTTATTGTCTTAACAGAATTTAAACAAAGAAAAATTGAAAATAATGAAAATTTAATTTTCGTAAACGTTCCCGTTATTTTTAGTTGTTTTACGGTTTTGCCCAATTATTTGAAAACTACACAATAAATGAAAAAGAATACGGTTATACTTCGCATGATGGGTGGGCCATTGTAAGTGAAAAGTTGGGAAGTTTAAGGGAAAATGTAATGTACTCGTACTATCTGTAAACAATTGCTAACGAGAAACGATTCAGAGCAGAGTTCGGTTTATAGTGTTGCTTTGTAAACAGTATGAATGCCATATTATTGTAATTACGTATCTATGCATTATATATTTTCTTTAATAATATTTTTTTAATAATGTACCTATTTTCCGGTTTTTCCCATATTGCTTCCCAGTTTTTCTCATTTATTAAAAAAACCGGGGAGAAAATCTAAAAAAAAGATAATAAAAATACCAGCCCGGTCAGATTTCTTTTTGAAGAAAATGCTAGAATTGAAAATCGGAGCAAAATTGCTGTTAGAAAAGTTGTCCACAGAAAAAATAAAAAAAAACATTATTGTAAAATCAATACATTCCTCGCTTCACTCATAATCTAAAATTTATTCATACATGCCAACTAGAAAATATTTTCTTTCAGATAAGGAGCTACTTTTAAAATTTGAAGTAACGTTTCTGGTAGAAAAGAATATTGAGAAAAATTTTAAAAAATGAAATCGAGAATGCCGTATATTTTTAAGTTTTTTTTTTACGTATTTTCTGTTTTTCTAAATTAAAATGAAAATCCTTTGGAAAATTAAAAATTTCCCCAGTAAACCACATCCAAAATTTAACAAAAAAAGAGGGCTCTTGTTATTTTTTGATTGGTGCAAGATTTTTGATAGAAAAGTAGTTGTTAGTAGATTAAAATAAATTTAAAAGGACGCACATACTTTGCACGTAGGTGCAGCCCCCGTTATAGGTGGGAAGTTGGTAAGGGAGGATATAGAATGGAATTTAATGTATACCTGTAAGCAACGATAAGCCACTGCTAACGAAAAAACGATTCTGAGCGGAGTTCAGTTAATAGAGTTGCTTTGTCAATAATATGTATGTCGTATTATAGTAAAACGATTATAATGTGCCTTTTAATGACAACAATGATTTTTCAAAAAGATTAAAATAATAAAAACTTAATAATAACAAAACATAAATAAAACCGGTTGACAATGACAACCTTATTTTTAATCTTTCAAACATTTTTAACCCTAAAGAACCAAGTTTTCTTAATTATCTCGAATATTAATGAGAATTTCGAAAAATGATCTATTTAGAGTACTACCCAGAGAACATTTTCTTTCAGAAAAGGTGCTTTACTTGATAATCAAAGTAAACTTTCTGGTAGAAAAAGTGTTAATAAAGTAACATAAAAAAATAAAACATCATTATAAAACCAATATATTCTTCGCTCCACTTAAAACCTAAACAAATATGAAGGTAGTACCTATTCATAAAAACTAAAAAGAATGTCAGCTCAATCAAAAATTGTCAAAATATTTTGACTATTTTACTATGTCTAATAAAGGCTAATGTAAGTATTCTGTAAATATTTTAGTTTATTTTAGCGATTAACAACAAAAACCAAAATCGAAATTATGAAACTACTAGCTGTCTCATGCCCAACGTTGTCTGTGCCAATTTTTATTATTATTTTACCGATATTAATTTTTTGTTTTGGGTGTGTCAGAATTGAATGAAAACAAATAGGTGGAAGGTGGGTAGTTCACCTTCGGCGGATTAAATTTGTTTATTGTAAAATTTTAATAGTGCAAATAATAGTAATAATAATAATTATTATAATAGTTTTCTTTTCCGTAACACCAAGGTAACCCATGAATAAACATAAAAAATAAATAAATAAGCAATTAGATATTCGTACAAAATATACCTAAACACCTCTATTTTACCCCCTTAGGGGTTGAATTTTCAGAAATCCTTTCTTATTGCACTATGCAGTGCAATAGTAATGCAATGCAAAGTAATGCAAAGTATTAGAGGAACCACTTTTCCAAACTTCAAGTGCGTACATTGAATAGTTTTTAAGATACAGTGATTAGTGAATCAGTGGTATTTGGATTTTATATCATAATAATAATAATAACAATAATTTATGCGTTAAAATAAAACGGGCTTGAACCAAACTGAACAAAAATAATACATACAAATATAAAATAAAAATAATAGTCTATATATTATATACTCGGTTATAAATGATTGTATGTAACATTGATATTGATAAAATTATTAGTTATGTAATAATAAGATAAATTTGATAAAAGGTAATACAATAGACATTAATAATAACTAACATGTAATTTAGTTATTTTAGATACATTAACAAGAAAAAAAAAAAAAGTTGCGGTATTTATTGCATAATGACATTGCTTTGGAAAGAGGTGAATTTTTAGCAAAGTTAATGTTATGAAAAGAAAAGTAGAAAAAAGTGGGGTATCTAGGATGATGTGAGGTAACATTAAAGTGAATGTATTGAAGTAAATAAGGAGAATTTATAAGGTCATTAATGATGTTATAAACAAAAGATATATCCGCCGCTTCCCGTTTAGAAGCCAGTGGGAAATTTACAATGTAAACGGATAAATTTGTACTCGTGAGGTTCCAAATGAAAATTTATTTTAAAAGCTAAGTATTTGAGGAACTGATTTTGGACCCTTTTAATTGAATCACTTTCTTATTTAGTATAAGGGCTCTAAATATTAGAATCATATTCCAAAATAGACCAAAAAGGCCGTGTAAAAAGCTTTAAAAGACCTAAAAACCCAGAAAAGTGACGTTTAATAAAATCTAATGTTTTTGAAGATTTCTTCATAATATACCCAATGTGTTCACGAAAACATAAATCATATGAAAAAATTACACCAAGGTTTTTAACAGATGAAAAAGAGTCGAGTTCGTTGTTATTGATACTAAAATTGATTGTGATTGGGTTGCGTATTCTATAAAAGCTCACTGAATGACACTTGGGTATGTATAAGTTCATTCCTTACTGTTTGCACCAGTTAACCAAAAGATGAAGTTCGTTTTGTAAAACATAACAATTGAAGACACTTGTGTAAATAATTTTAAGTCATCGGCAAATAATAGAAATTGAGACTTATTAAGAACAGACAAAATATCATTTATGAGAATTAATAATAAGAGGAGTGACAAATGACTGGTATATGTATAGATTAATGCTGTAAACTTTCCTGTATTTTCTATATATTTTATCCAGATTTTCTCAATTACTATAAACGCAAGTTGAAAAATCAGAATATCACCAACTCACTAATTAGATTCAAAATGCAACAAAAAAAGTGTCTTGTAGTTTTTAATTAGAGCAAGATTTTTGGCAGAATAGGTGTTTACAGACAGAAAAATAAAAACATACACATCATAACTACGCTCAGTATCTAAGACACATCATAGTAAAAGTAATGCATTCTTCGCCCTGCTTGGAATCTAAAATGTATGATTTTTTTTACAGAACAGTGTTATACAAAATTGTCGTAAATAGTAAAATATAGTTAGGTACAACTAGTTATAGACAAAGGACTTATTTGTGTTATTTAACCCTGAGTTGAAAAGCTATTAGTTGTACTATGTATTAATTAGTTCACAGTTAGCGATACCAAGGTATTTATTTAATAAATGCAATACCATTTTCATAAATTATTAGGTTTATAAATCCGTCATTTTAAAACTACTTTTTCTTTTTTTTTTTTACTTCTGAATCGATAATTGGGAGTGGCACTGACTTCAATAATTTCACCCTCCTCTCCCTCCCCTTTCACTAACATTTATTCGTCAACAACAAAAGTTTGGCAATACATTTGAGTGGATGGGATATATTCTTAAGAGTTTCTCTTTTTAAAATATTTGACTTCATCATACAAATATGCAAACTTCGACGACGATTATTGTGCAATTTTTGGCTGTCTTTATGGTTTTTTGAAAAACACCTGATAGATGAAGTCAGCAATAGTGTTCCATTTCTCCGGTAACGCGACCATGTATCTAACTAAGTTCTCAGGAATTACTTCTTCTCCGATGACGTTGTTCATGCAACTCCACCCGATGTAACGTTACCTTGGCACCACTATCCAAAACCGATTTCCCGGTGTTTTAAGGAGTTTATACATTTTTTTTTTGTGGTTACTAATTGTTCATAATACCAGTCGGTTTTGAAGTCAAAGTTTTGATATGGTGATGCCAGGGCAACGTATCTCCATCTTCGAATAGAAATTTAAAGCACCCATTCCTGGATCATAACAATATTGAAGAAGATATATTTTAAATAAGAAACACACATAACTGAGGTACCATTTGTGACTGGATTAGTTAATTTGATTTCATCTTGAACAGAAGGGCTCTAAACTATTGAAACGCGATCTAGAATAGATCGTACTACTGCAATATAAAGTGTTACTAAAAGCATGGGGTCGAATTGAAGTTATTAGAGTTCCATGATAGAAAGCTACAAGACCTTATAGAAAACATATACCACACGAGATTTGAAGGATCGAGAAGTTTATATGAGTCCTAAGTCTGATCTCAAAAACACGCTATAAATATTGCTCTATTCATAGGTATGAATAAATATTTGCTTTACAGAAAATAGGTTGGTTTAATTTAAAATATATCAGGTAATTGAACAGTTTATTAAAAGTGTTCGAATTAATGTTTGGTAAGTTACATTTAGAGTTGCCAAAAGTTTATTTTAATTATAATACCGGAAATTTGTGTTTGGTGATACGGTAAAATATCGTCGATTGGCATATTATGAAATCTTAATTAGAGATACAGCCACGCAATTCCTGAGAAGACTGGGTTACTGTACTCTAGAGTACAGACCAATTTAACTCTGATTTGTAACAAATATTATGTCAAACCGTAGGCATTATGTTTGCGTTAATTATTTTAAATATGTATAAAATGCATTGTGATATTTTAATGATATGATTATGCAGTTCAGAATCAAAACAAATATTCGTATAACATTATATTATTATTTAAATTATTCCCCGATAGTCGGTCAAGTAAGTTACCTAAACAATTATCAGAATTTCATAAAGCTTCATATGATTACAATTTAAAAACAAATGGTGGAGAGAATTTATAAATATTTGTGAAAAAAATTATATATTTTAGCTGTCAACATAATTTAAAAAGGCGTATTAACATTCTATATTTGTTAAATTGTTTATCAAAATTTTGTTTAGTAATAATTGAATTTTCGTAATAATTATTAATTAAATATTACAAAAAGTTCAATATTTCTAATCAAATGTATATATTTTGTAAAAATATTTTCATATTTGTAAAATTATGAAAATTAAAATAAAATTCGCATTTCTAGTTTAAATAATTATCATTTAGTGAAAATTATGGTTTAAATGGAATCTCGTTGGAACCGAAAATAGATACTGTTTTAAGTAGTTTCCATGTTTACAAGTTAGGCACTTAATTGCCAAAAACAAAATATATGTCTATCTTTATAGAATTTAATAATTATTATCAGTGTTAGGTGCAAGGTACTAGGTTATGCAATTCTTTCTATCTTTAATTATCCTACCTCAGTCTATTTTTTTTCATTTTCCACTATAAAAGCTATTTTTATCTCTGATACATTAATTTTTATTATATTTTTCTTGTCTATTGCCAAAAACTCTAAACCATACAGCACAGTGAGTCTCACTACACTTTTGTAGAACTCACCTTTAAGTCTCATTATAATTCTGTTGTCATATAAAACACTTCATATTTCTCTTCACTTTATCCAATCCCACTCAATTTTATGTTACACATCTTCATTTTTTCCTCCCGTATACATCTATGATGTGACAGTTTACCCAAGCCTTGTTTAGAAATGCGCAAACTAATTAATTAAATGTTTACACCAGCGAATGACTTGACTTAATCTCATTTGTTGCCTTTTACAATAGGTAGAGGATAATGTGCAATAGAGTAATAAATTATTATAATATATCGATAATGGGTGCTTAATGTAAAAAATGATAGTGATTCGGATAATAATTTTGTTTTGTGCATTGAACGAATACCACCCTGTATATTTAAATTGTAATTTTCATTAATTTTAAACTGCATAAACGAATTACGTGCATCGAATATTTACCTATTATTTGACACGTTCGTTTGTTTGTATGGCTGAAAATTATCTACGAAATATATCATATAAATCTAGTGGTCTATATGTTTATTATTAATTTATGGGTTATTGAAACAGTTTTATTGAGGTTATTATTCGTATTTGTTTTTATCTAACATACAATAGTTAGTTACAAATGTTTTTAAAATTGTTAAGAATTATTAAATGAATATAGTATTGTTCAAGGAAAATATTTTTATTTTTTTTTTTTTATATAATTTTATACAAATTGTATTTATATCATGAAACGATTATCTATCATATTTTTTTTGATTTACATTAATGTTAGTATACACTATGTTGATTGTTTAATAAACATAATAGTCGTAATATTATAAGAAATCTAATTAAGCCTAAGTAATGTATATTTGTCTGTAATGTACTTTTCTTTGTATGGTTCTAGGTGCCCGGCCAACAAACCATTTCACCTGATAATATACAAGAAATAAATAGTTTAAATTTACCATCTGCGAACGAGTTATTGTGGACAACAACTCTGTCGTATTGTAACGTTTACTTTTTGGTACATAAAATTTTGATTAGTGTTGGAGTACCATTAGACAGTGTAGTTATTTCTAACGATGAACTAGCGGCTATCCTTATACCAGATAATCCAGGTGAATCAGGATCAAATTCACCATTAGAGTTCTTAAGGTTCATAGAAGCTTCACAATATATTGATGATTTTGTTTTTGACACAATTGGTCATATTAACATTACGGACCCTGATATAAATACTGGGAGAAAAATATGGGATTCAATAGAGGATTCAATGATTGTTTTTATGGAAAACATTTTATTATTGACTAATCAAGTAAATCAAATGATGCATGATATAAACAATGAACTACTAATCAATCGAACTAATATGGACAAAATGACGATGATTTACTTATATATAGATATATTTGATCAAACCGTTGATGCAGTATGGAATAATAGTGTTCCATATAAAGAGGCATTTAACTTTTTTAAAACATTGAATCTAGAGTCCATTATGAATAATGTCCAAGTAAGTAAAATTATTTAATTATAAGGTATTTATATTTTATTGTTAGTACCTATGTACCTATTATTATTTTTTGCTCATTATTGTTTGGGTATGACCAGGTCCTAGATTCAAACTCCAATTATCATTATATCTATGGATCTTTTCATTGGTCTTACTCTATAATATATTATAGATAAATCGATAATTAATAAATTCAGTTATACAATCGAATACACCATGTTCTTTTAATTATTATAGTCAATACAACATTTAAATTTAATTTATAAATACGATTTATAACTGTCGTGTAATGTTCTTATTATAGTATACAATATAAATGTTGACACGTTATTTTCTATAACAATATTAAAGTAAAATAAATAAATCGATGACGATTCTACTTATAAACAATAACTGTAGTTATAGTTTAATAATACTCGTAAGACAAATTTCACCAAAAACATAAATATGAGAAGAGTGAGTGTCAATCAGTGAGTTAAAATATTTTTTTTTAAATAACAACTTTCTACTACCTAATTAATTTTTGACTTGGAATACATCTTGACTCACGTTTAAACTGGAAATACCACGTATTTCAGAAAAAATACAGATTAATGGAAAAATAGAAGCTTTATTAGGTAGTCGGAACCCACTCCGAGCTAACTATAGAAAACAAATGTCTACTATATTTAGCTATTATAAAACCGATTTGGGTCTATGCTATTTAACTGTGGGGTTGTACTAGTAATCTAACACGGATGTGGCAATGCTACCAAAACATCGCCTTTAGGAACTATCACTGCAGCTTATCAATACGAAAGAAACTATGCAATTCACCGCAATATGATACTGCCTATAATAGCAGACGAAATCAAAAGTTTTATTCGCAAATACGAAACAATACTAGATATCATGAGAGAGGCCATATCAATGCAATGATCGTTCAGTTATTAAACAATCTAAGGATATTAGACGTCTTAAATATCTGAACCAAATGACTTAGTTTAAGAATAGAATTTAATTTTTAGGCGCTACTCGATTGAAAGCATGTCTTCACTAATGTGCGCAGTATATATTAATGTCTAGTGTTTAAAATATACATTTTGTTTAACATATTGATGACCTATGAGTCGTTTAAATAGAAAAGCCTCAGGGTATTTAAAAAAAAAATAAAAAACAATAAATGGTCAAACTTTACACGATGGGTGTGTCACTATTGTAGGTAAAGTTTGTAAGTTGGGAAGGTAGAGTGGAGATTTAATGAATACCTGTACGAAAATATTAATCATTGCTAACGAAATACAATTTTGAGCGAAATTCGGCTATACATATTTTGAAAGGCCGTAATATTTACGATTTGAAAATAATACAATTTGTAAATTTTCTCGTTTTTCCTACTTTTTATCCTGGGTTTTCTCATTTATTATAAAAACTGCTGGGAAAATCAAAAAAATGATATTCGTAAGGTACGACCCCAGTTCAATTTCCTTTTAGGAAAAGTCCTATCCTTGAAAATCTGAGAAACATTTCTGATAGAAAAGTTGTTAACAGAAAAAATACAAATAATTAGAATAAATAAATTGTAAGAACAATACATTCCTAGCACCGCTCAAAATTTAAAGTGTACATTATATTATGAATAATACAATTTGTGAAGTCAAAAATTAAAAAGTAAGCAATCAAATTTTTTTTTCAATAATTTAAACTTGGCACACTTAGATGTCAATTATTTTTTGGCGAATTTAGTTTCTCTTTCATATTTTATGGTTTTAGTGAGATATTATTACTTTGTGTAATGTTACTTTCTACTTAAATATAATCATTTTATTATCGGCACCATTTATTATTAACATCCAATATTCCGATACATAGCTACCTATTAAAACTGACAACAGAGTATTAAAATCGAAAGGTTATTATAAGAAATATATTGATTGAAAACCTAATTTAGAAAATACTTAAGGTGACTTACGAAATATGGTCGTTAGGCTCCATTTGATAATTCGATACGTTTTACAAGTCCTAGATTTATAATTACAGTTGTAGTAATTTCATAACCCCTTGATATTGTATTTACTGATGTAGTTGATTTGGTTTTGGGCTAATTTCGTTAATGAATAAATGAGTAACTTATCTTGTTTTTATATAGATGATTGTTAATCAAGAAGAAGATGATGATAACCATCTTAAGCCACGTGAGTTTATTCGAATGAAATTGATTAAAGTATATGAACTGTATGTAGACGCATTTACAAGTTTTTACGATTGTTCATCGGATAAAACACATTGGTCACAATTAGATTTTATAAAATGGTATGATTTAAGTTCATCGAAGAGTATTTTTGATTACGTGATATCAAAATTACTTTCTCATACCACGACGTTAACAGCCCGTACACATGATATATATAAATACAACTATAATAGTCCAAATATTTTGACTATTACATCAATGATCCAAGAGTATGTTGAAACAAACTTAAATTATATAATTCAGTTTGTAAAAACGCCATTACAAAATATTATCACTATAAATGATGAAGAAATAATCAATGGTGTCACACTTTCAAGTTCTTTTAATGATGGAGATATATCAGTAGACACATTATTAAGTGTTAATAATGGGAATGAGTACAAGGAACGGATTAAAAATATCGAGAATAAGTGGATTGATACTAATATCAATACTGTTATAAATTATATTTTAGATAAATATAGCAAATCCGAATGTGATACAGATATAAATCATAATAATAAATTGATGTTTTGGGCTGAATTAATAACAATCGATGCACAAAATGTAAATGTACTCGAGTCGTCAATTTATGCATTAGTATTAATAAAAAATGTAGAAAATATTGTTACGTGTACAATTCAAGAGAGTAGTTTAACTTTAAATACAGAACAAACTATTAAAAATCTTTTAACTGAAATTGACGAAAAATTAAATGCTTTATATTTTTATAACATGTATTCATTAATATATCATGGGAAATATATTATACCAAACTTGTGGGATAATGTGATTAAAGATAAAAATAATATATTTAATTTATTAGATTGGTTAAACCAGAATAGTCCTACAACAGTTATTCCTCATTGGCCCAATGACGAATTCTGTGATAAAATGTACATTAAAAATTTAGTACAACTTGCTTCAGTGTCGTCAGATATGTTGTATGATGTTACATTTACAAGTATATATAGAGCATTAAAAAAAAAAAAAAATGTAGATGAAGGAGCAAAAACTGATGTTTTGTACATATTGCAAGATCTTGAAGAATCTAAAAAAGTATATAAGGAATTATTACATCGAATAAAGAAATTCATTAGTATAAATATGAAGTACATAAAAACAGAATTTGAAGAAAATTCAGATTTAAATCAAGCAGCTACACAAGAAATCACCAAAATAATTAAGTATAAACTTTTTGCAAGTACTGAATTAATTATTCCATCATTTATACAGGGCGAGTACTTTGGTACTGTAGAGCCTCAAAATATTAAATATTATACGGACCATTTTAAAACCTTAAATGATGTATTTTGCATGTATTTTTATGACGAAGTAAAAATGATATCAAATGATATCACATTAAAAAAATTAATTGAAACCTATGAAGAGGATATAGACAAAATATTCACATATTTAATGGATATGGAAATAAACTACTCAAATAGTGAAGATAAGTATGGACAATTATTGATAAACAGTATAAGATGTGCGAAACATTTATTTAAAATTGTCATAACTGATTTAAAAAGCCGCCTAAGAGAAAAAAAGACATTGAAGTTAGATGGTTTCGACCAAGAAATAAAACACCGACTAAATATAGCTGTAGCAATTATAATGGAAGACTTCATAAGATGTGATGAATATTTACAAAAAACAACAACAAATGCACGATTTTATAATACTAAATACTTGTACTCCCAATCAGTTATTGATTTGACGCAGATAACTACTGAAATGGATTATGAAAACATGTTTGAAATAACGTTAGCAGTACAAGATGGAAAAGATGATATGAAATCATTATTAACTCTAAGTTCCCAAGACAGTAGTGCAAACTTAATAAAACCAGTAACTACAGCAAAATTTGATGAAAACGAACAAAAAAATACTCCAAAAACTGATATAGAAGTTAATTCAGTACTTAAGATAGGTGATAAATCAGATACTACTGGGAATCATGAATCGTTATCGAGTTCAACTAATATTAAAAGCAAGATTACAACAGTCGGATCAGTTAAATCGTTAGGTAAGATTATCTAATTGAATTGAATAAGTACTTATAACAGCACATAACCAAATATCTAATCTAAACTTTCTACATTTGATACTATCGGTATACTACTTATGTTATATTAAATAATAGCTGTTCCAAATAGTATTGCATGTGCACAGTATTGAACAAAAAAAAACTTCCCGTTTCCATTACATTTCTTTATTACACCTAACCGTTGTTGTATGTAAATTTTTTTTTTTAAGCGTATTTTCTTGCCCTGACAATCAAAATAACAGCAGTTTTTTCATCCTTTACACCAAAGTTATCAATAAAATTAATTTTCATTCAAAAATACTTAAAGCTACTCGGAGTTTAAATTTCAGAAATACGATTTCTATGTACACAGTGATATATACTTAATATGAATCAATATGACTTCAAAAACACTTAAAAAAAAAATTAATAATAATAATTACTCGGAAGTTCATAAAATAAGAAGTGGAATGAAATAGTTAAATTACTATTAATACTGGTCTGAGTGCTAAAAAGAATTAAATAGCTACTTTAACTTCATAAACAAAGTCTCACGCACTTCTATCAAATATAAACACCCAGTTACTACTTCACAAAATGTAAACTACCCTGCATTTACTGGTATGCTTAATTTATGCTCTCTAAAAATATTCTACCAAAATATTCATGGGCTTAGAACCAGATTACCTCAATTAAGATCTTCTTACTATATGTTTTTTTCTTATAAATTATAAGAACCTTTATAATTTAACGGAAACATGGCTATCCTCTAATTTTAATAATTTTGAACTGGGGCATATCAACTTTAGTATTTTCAGGTAGGGCAGAAATCCTGGTAATAGCGATTTTTCCCGTGGTGGAGGTGTTATCATTGCAATCAAAACATCGTTTAAATCTTTCACTGTTTTGTCCAATGCATTTAATGTTGAATAGGTATTTACTTTGTTATTCATCGACTCAATTATTGTTTTAATCAGTGCCTCCAATATCACCTCACTTGTTATAGAGTCACATATCTCATCAGTTGTGGAATTAATTTCTTTATTGTCTCTTACCCATTTCATTCATGGGGTGACATTAGTTTTCCCAATTTATTTTGATCTTATGACTCACTTGGTAATCAAGCGAGCGGCATGCTAACACTAGCAGCCATTCTGATTGTGGATTCATTTTCTTTCCTAAAAATTGTTTAGTTAAATCAAGAATGCAACAGTTACGATAACGTTTTAGACCTTGTTTTTTGCTATAAAAATAATAGTTCTGTTATTTTACCCCTTCTCCTATCGTTTGTCCGGATCTATATCACCTGCTACTAAAAATCTCCTTTCAGCTACCTCCTTCAATTTTATCATCAACTTCTCACACCTACTAAGAATACAAATCCGGAGATTATACTTCCATATTTAATTTATTTCTTAACTATAACTGGCAATTAACTTTTTGATTTTATTCTATCGATGATGCCGTTAAAATATTTAATGAAGCTATCTATATTGCTATAGATAAATGTATCCTCAAAAAGAAATATATTGCATCTAAATTCTCAGTGTGGATATCTTTTAAGCTTGAAAACCTATTTTTCTCTCAAAAAACGTGCGCATCTAGTATTCAAGTGTTCGAATATAACTTCGAACTACTTAATTTTTTATTTTAAACATTAAATTTCCAGATCCTTGCAATTTAAAATTTAAAATATTCAAATGTGTTTTTAAATCAATAGGAAATGCTACATCCCAAAACCAATTAAGTTTAAAAATAAGAATAATATTGTGAATCATGAACATATCGATTTTCTTTTGATGATCGAAAATTCTTTTCAAACTTTTCCTCGGTTTAATCATCAAACGAGATTATGGTACGCTACATAACCGAACTAAGCTAATATTCGAAAAGAAAAAGTTAAAATTGTCTATGAGTAAGGCCATGAGACCTAGGAAAATTAACAGGTTTTATAACAATAGACATAACATTTTCAAAACCTATAACTTTTCCACAAAAAACATGCCGATGAATAATAAAATTAATATAATTAGATGGAAAAATATTTTTAAATACTTAAAGTTTATTTACCCTACCAATGAAACCAATATATTCTTATCATGTATTTGAAGCACCATCTGTTATTCTACATAGATTTCGCCAATCAAAAACAAAATTTTAAAGACAAGTATCTACTAAATCAAATATATAAAACTGGTGGTGAGTTCTTTGGAATAAAAAACGGTTAATACGCAGTACGCTGTCCAATGGAATAATAATTCAGTTTCCATAAAAAACTTTTTATGTAGTAATAATCTGTGTTATACTTTAAAATTGTTGACATCAAATTGAATTTTAAATGAAATGTGTTCGACTAGAAATTAAACATCCGTGCATAACATCCAGAAAATACGACATGTGTATAAATCCATATGTGATTTTGATACAATGTGATTCGAACGGAAAAAAGATTCGGTCGAATTTCATAAACGCACATGACATTTGGGATGAACTAAACGTACTTAAAATATATGACGGTTTTTAGGTTCGTTGAACATTCAGAGTAATGACCAAGTATCCAAAAAAGTGGACTCCGGTGTTTCTTCATTACTCGAAAAAATCGATCAACCTTCGAATCCGGTTCAAGACAGCGCCAATACACTTGTTGATGGTAAAGCCGTTACTACCAAACAAACGACATCCGTAACAAGTAAATTACAAGGTTAGTCAATAAAGTGTATCAAAAATGTCGTAAAATCTAGAAAGGTTAAAACATTTGAACGGGTTTTTCGATGAAAATAATATTTTAAACTCAAAACTAAAATAATAGAAAAAAACACTAACTGTACAACTGAATACATTCCAGAAACCTCTGTTCTCGATCAGCAACAGAAACCCGTCCAAATTCCACAAATCAACGATCCAAGTTTAGCAAATCAAGCTGATCCAAGCAATCCTTCATCGTCACAGGATAGTGGTTCAATATTTGATTTATTCGGTAAAAGCAACACGCCCGTACCATCCCCAACCAAATCCATTATAACAACAGGTAATTCGTCGTAGAATTTTTTAGGCGAAAACAATATGCTCATATATTATCTTAGAATTATTATCACGTAGTTCTTAAAATATATAATAAAATATCCACGAGGAAATATGTTTGCACACCAGTTCTAAAATGATCGCTTACTATGATTTTATCGATTAATATTTTGATAACAATATCATCAGTCGCAAGCATACTATCAAACTATACGAAGATTTATAAAAAATTAAAAACGTATTTTATCATAGGAAGTGCTGATTTGGATCAGCAACCGAAACCAAATGAAAATGCTCAACCAAGTGATCCGGTCGCGTCAGTTCAAGGAAAATCAATCGATCCGGCCTTAACAAAGGGTATTGGTTCGATAATTGGCTCATTTGAAAAAAGCGACACACATTTGACATCCTCAACCCAATCAAATAGCCCTGGAGGTGAGTTCTTTGGAATAAAAAACAGTTAATACGCAGTACGCTGTCCAATGGAATAATAATTCAGTTTCCATAAAAAACTTTTTATGTAGTAATAATCTGTGTTATACTTTAAAATTGTTGACATCAAATTGAATTTTAAATGAAATGTGTTCGACTAGAAATTAAACATCCGTGCATAACATCCAGAAAATACGACATGTGTATAAATCCATATGTGATTTTGATACAATGTGATTCGAACGGAAAAAAGATTCGGTCGAATTTCATAAACGCACATGACATTTGGGATGAACTAAACGTACTTAAAATATATGACGGTTTTTAGGTTCGTTGAACATTCAGAGTAATGACCAAGTATCCAAAAAAGTGGACTCCGGTGTTTCTTCATTACTCGAAAAAATCGAACAACCTTCGAATCCGGTTCAAGACAGCGCCAATACACTTGTTGATGGTAAAGCCCTTACTACCAAACAAACGACATCCGTAACAAGTAAATTACAAGGTTAGTCAATAAAGTGTATCAAAAATGTCGTAAAATCTAGAAAGGTTAAAACATTTGAACGGGTTTTTCGATGAAAATAATATTTTAAACTCAAAACTAAAATAATAGAAAAAAACACTAACTGTACAACTGAATACATTCCAGAAACCTCTGTTCTCGATCAGCAACAGAAACCCGTCCAAATTCCACAAATCAACGATCCAAGTTTAGCAAATCAAGCTGATCCAAGCAATCCTTCATCGTCACAGGATAGTGGTTCAATATTTGATTTATTCGGTAAAAGCAACACGCCCGTACCATCCCCAACCAAATCCATTATAACAACAAGTAATTCGTCGTAGAATTTTTTAGGCGAAAACAATATGCTCATATATTATCTTAGAATTATTATCACGTAGTTCTTAAAATATATAATAAAATATCCACGAGGAAATATGTTTGCACACCNACGATCCAAGTTTAGCAAATCAAGCTGATCCAAGCAATCCTTCATCGTCACAGGATAGTGGTTCAATATTTGATTTATTCGGTAAAAGCAACACGCCTGTACCATCCCCAACCAAATCCATTATAACAACAGGTAATTCGTCGTAGAATTCTTTAGGCGAAAACAATATGCTCATATATTATCTTAGAATAATTATTACGTAATACCTATAACTTTTAATTGAATATCATTGATGAAATAGTTTTTTATACCAGTCTTTTTAGAATATTGTGCTACCTTAGTCAGTGGATTCACATTTGTTTTACCTACACAAGTTTCGTCAACTTATATCAGCTGACCTAAAAAAAGGATAGGTTGCTTATCTACGGCATTGGTGTTTTCTGTTTCATATAAATGTTCTTTATAATAATGATGGATAACTCGCTTGTGGGACAGTTTGAGATGAATCCAAGTGTCGGAGGTAGTGAAAAGTTTGTTTCTGTTTTCATTGTCAAGAGAATTATAAAATGTATCTTTGAATTTGAACTCCTATCTGGACGATCCTGACTTTTTTGCAGCGAACGGTTTCAATATACTTATCAGAGGTTGCGTATGTTTTTATTTGTTTGGGTGCAAAAATATGAAATTACCATCAGTTGTCGTTGTTCTGGAATCAGTGCATGGCTGCGTGGATATCCGAGAGATGTCTGAATTCTATCTGCATGCTCATTTGGTCAACATTGGGAAAATGACTTTACATAAATTTGTTTATGCTAAGATCAAGTGTATATTAGTCACTTGACATTTTACCAGAGTAGTTTTGTGGAGTATTTAGTCGTTTAAACTTTATAAATACAGGGATTTGTGATGAATACGGTATGTTTGTCTTGTATTTTCCTCTTAAACCTGGAGTACAAGAGCTTGAACAGATGGTGGACATGATCGAATTGAGATTCCTTGGCATGGAACGACTTATTCAATAAAACAAAACCTAAAATCATAATACGAACCGGTCATTGAAGATTATATGGAGATACATATAGGAATTAGAGAACGAAAAAAAGTAGCCAGATCCCCTATTTTATCTTCCAAATGAGGCCTTTAGTCTTATAGCTCAATTGATGGTCATGTTTGATAAGTTCTCTAAAACATCGTCAAAATTATCGTCAAACAGCGTTTTATGTGTAGGACAACTATTTTAGTATTCAGCTACGCTTTGCAGGCATCAATTACTCATGTTAAGTTTTTGGCAGCTAAAAGTTTTTAAGAAGGATCCATATTTATTTTCGGAAACGGATGAACTACGATTTAAAGTAGATTCCATTTAGCCAAGAAACAAGATGAAAAATAGTATGTTATATGGACAAACATTCTTTTCTTCAGTGGAATAAAATATTTGACCCATTCGGTTTTTTGGCACCACTGTTTGTTTATTTACTTCACAGTTAAGATTCACACTGTTCTGAATTTTTAAAATTACATTTTTTTCAAGTAACCTTATACTTCCACCCTGGTGTATTTGAAAACCATTTATTAGTATCTATTCTCTTAAAGTTTGATTGAATGTAACTATTTTTCATTCAACAAACATTTTAATATGAGTTCTAACAATAGCATACCATATACTATAAGACTAAACAATATTCAATATACTATTCGCTATGAAAATCTGGAAAATTACAATAAATGAAAACTGATAAATTTACGGCGCTAGTATTCCTTTATTTCAAATTTGTACGGTCTATGTTTTTTACCAAAAGAATATAATAAATAAACAACAAGAGATCTATTTTTTAAATTTGTAATCTTGTTGGTTACCTCATTAGATTGGTTTTAGAAAGATGTTTATTTTAATTTTTTTTTATATAAATTCACGTTCTACTAGAAAACTTATTCCGATCAAGTATAGTACTTCTTCCGAAAGGAAATGTTCTCTAGGTGATACTTTAGAAAGGTAATTTTTTGAGATTCTCATTAATTTTCGAGATAATGAAACCCCTGGTTCTTAAGTTTAAAAAAGACTGAAAGATTAAAAATAACGTTGTCATTGGCAACCTATTTTATTTTATTTTGTTATATTTTATTTTTTCTCCATCTTTTTTAAACAATCATTGTTGTCATGAAAACGTATATTGTAATAATTTTACCATTATACGATATATATTTTGATAATAAAGCAACCATTTTAACTGAACTCCACTCAGAACCATTTTTTCGTTGCAATAGTTTATCGTTGCTTAGAGATAAACATTAAATTCTCGTCCGTATCCTGCCTTCTCAACTTTCTACTTACAAAAGCTATTGCACCCAAGTGTGAAGAGCATGTCCGTTCTTTGTAATAAATATTTCCATAAATATGATAATTGATAATTGAAAATTAAAGAAATCAATATTTTTAGATTTTGAAAGTAATGTTACGTATATTTTTTATTTTTAAAAAACGTTTCTATCAGAAATGTTACTTCAATCAAAAAATCTAAAAAATATAAGTCAATTTATTAACTTCCAAGGGGTTTTTATTTTATATGAGATTAATAAATTGGAAACAAATTTGTAGGACAAATATGTATAGCGTGCCACCACAGCCTTTCTGATTTCATTAATATTAAAAATGTTTACGAATTATGTTTTCAAACAAAAATCTTCTGCAATTATTGGAAAAGGGCAGAGAACTTTTTCGTTAAATTTTAGATTTAATTGTTAGTAGGAAAGTTATGTTTTGTTTTTCCAAGCAGTTTTTAGAATAATTGCAAAATCCCGAAAAAAAAAAACATTGGAAATAATAAAAGTAATAATAAAAAGCTTTCGTTGGTTCATTATTTTCGATTATTGGTTTTGTTGTGAATCGGTTAAAAATTATTGTAGTAAACTGAAATTTTTACAGAACTAAATTTGTATGATTATTTACACTCTAATATTATGATATTATATGTAATAATTATATAATTAGAATGCAACTAAAAATATATTATTGTAATTAATATATACGTATAATATATATGTATTAATATATATGTATAATATATATGTATTTATATATATATATATATATATATATATATATGTCTAATGTAATTACCTGGTTACCCATTTCCTATTGCTTTGGTATACGTCCAGCCTAAATCGTTAACTAAATTGTTTATACAAATTGAAAGTAAAAAGTTATATCCAATAATTACATAAACTAGTTAAGTTAAATAAGGTAACAATAAAAAATAATTAACTAGAAAGGTTAAAAAGTTTTAAGAAATTAACTTTTCAAGAAGTTGATGCACACCATTGAAATTTGGATTATCAGGTTTGTCAAAACGACCTCAACTGACTAAACCGTCTAATTTATTTGATACAAATTTAATACCTACAGATATAATTAAGCCAATGTTGAATCAAGATGATAGCACCAACCTCGATTCTACTGGAGAAAGCGTGATAACTAAACGCAGAAATGTCGTTTTACATAAATCTTCAGGTAAGACATTCAAATTGAGTTTTGTATTCATAATTTTTTCTTATTCAACTTTGGTCAATTACATTGAATTCATTGTTCATAGCAATGGTTTTTTAGAAAAGAGATTATTGAATTCTTCAGTTAGTGAAAAAGTCTTCAATTTTAAAATGTATTATAAACGTCTGTTTTATAATATACTTAATATTTTTGGATTATCCGGTTTCGGAGAACTAGTTTAGGTGACTGAATCGCCTAAACAAAATGATTTATTCGATTCAAATTTGATACCTTAAGAGGATCTTAATTAGCTAATTTTAAGGAATGTTGATATTTTCATTTTTTGTTTTAATAGAAGAAACTTAATCACTAAATTTAACTCAATAGTATCAAATTAATTTAAGATAAATTAAGTAGTCTATTTCTTTTTAGTACTACCCTGACTAACTATGTTTAATGATCAATATGATGTAATATCGATTTTAGATTCTGAGTTTAACACAGAATGTATTGGGTTTACAAAAATATTTTTATTATTAATTTTTTTTTTATGTGAACACTTTTTATTCTAGGAAGTTTACTCTGATTATCAAATATAGCACCTTTTCTGGTGATATTAATATATTAATATTATATAATATTCGTGATAATGAGGAATACCTGGTTCTTTAGGTTAAAAAAGACTGAAAGATTAAGAATAAGGTTGTCATTAGCAACCGTTTTTATTTATTTTTTGTTCTTATTAAGTTTTTATTATTTTAAAATGTTTTTTTAAATAATCATTGTTGTCATGGAAACGTACATTGTTGTAATCATTTCGCCATAATATGATATATATATATATATATATATATATATTATTGTTGAATCGTTTTTTCGTTAGCAATGGTTTTTCATTGATTATAAATATACATTAAATTCCCGTTTATATCCCACCTTCCCAACTCCCTATCTGCAACAGTGGCTGCACCCACGTTCGAAGTATGTCCGTCCTTTTTTTTGTTTTGTTTATAGTATACTAGAGAGTCAATGCCTTATCTGAGATTTTAATTCTATTAAATATTCTTTTACTATATGAAATAATATATACAAATTTTACATTAACAAATTATTTCAGGAGTTTCGAGTTCAGAAAATATTCCAACAATGGCTCATATTATATGAATGAAGTGTTCTTAATATGGTTTATTTGAATGAAATAAACATTACACTTACCTATGACATATTTGACGATTGAGTTCGATGAACTTATTGCTCATGCTAGATCACAGTTATAGCTGTTAAGTTACCAGGTTTTTTTTAATATTATCATTGGTTTTAGATCGCAGTCTGAAGCATTAGATAACTACCGGATTTTTGTATTTATGTACCTACTTAGTCCAATAGTGTATTAACGTATCATAATTTTCTTTAATAGCTGACTGTTCTCTTAATTTGTCTGCTGTTTGCTCTAATTTAAATTTAGTGTATAATCATCTAATTTGTTTTACGGCTGATTAGTTCATAGTGTACAATAACCAAATTATTGTAATTTTAATCGTATTGTAAAGTTTGTTCTAAATTAAATTCTTTCCTTTTTTTTTTTTTTTAAAGATTAGTTTTATACTGGTTAATTGTTTAGATTAAATAATAATATTTTCTTCTTTTATTTTTATTAGAATAATTTATGTAGTGCAAGTATACGGTTTTATTTACATACAGATAAAGTTATATATTTTGTGACCATATTTCGGCAGTAGCTAGTTACAAATTGAAAAAACTAATGCATAAGCAGGGCTTGCAAACGTAATAATAACGTTAATGGTTAAAAAAAACTATTAAAATTTGAAAACGTAACTAAACAGAAGCTAATATATGAAAAATAAAAATAAAAATATATGAGAAAACAAATATAAATAAATAATACTAAAAAACATAACATAACGCAAAACGAAGTTTAATGAATACATATCAAAACAGAACGCAAATGACGGAATAATATAAAGCCATTTTATATTTTCGTTAAAATATTTCTACTAGTTGTTACGATTTTTTTTTATAGTTTAATTATAACAATCTAAGGTTTATTTTTCAAGGCTTTATGAACATTGTTAGCAATTTGTTTAATATTAATTTACATTATTTGGAAAAATTGTACATTTCTGATTTACTCAAGACTGGTTTTACAGCACGCAATTCACATTTAGACTTTTTTGTTTTTATTCGTCTTGTTGCCTGTTAGACTATTTTAGGCTTCTCGCTGTCCATGACAAAATTATTATATGAGCGTAATCAATGGTTAATATAACGCAAAATATGAAACAAAAATCCACATAAAACGAAAATGTATTGTAAGTTATAACGTTTTAAATTAAAATAATGGAAAACAACATTGTTTTTCAAATGCAAGCCCTGTTTATAATAGGTTACTTTTTTGATATAGGCATCTTAACATAAATTTAAATAATATATTAGATATATTGTTATTGTTAATAATATATTATTATTGTTGAGAAAAATTAAGCTAATAACCTAATAATTTCGTTTTAAGTTATTATTGAATTGTTTATATAAAATACTATATACCTATGTTGTTTGCATATTTTATTTGTCGTCTACAATTACGGATTTATTCTTAAATGTATACTTATAATTTTAAAAATTCTGGTATGTTCGTTTTTAATGCTATACTGCTACTAAAATAATAACTAATTATTTTCAATTCAATAAACATAAAATACGTTAATGAATAAAGTTAAAGGTAAATTTTTAAAAAAGTAGTTTTTGACTCTAAAATTAACATTTATTTAAGTTAATTTTTTTCAGAAAATCTATAACAATTCGATTACTTAAATTTATTTATGTTTTTAACTTCAACTTAGATTAGTAATTTTATTCTTGTTGGATAACTAAATGAGCTAATAAAACGTGTTTAATTGTTCATATTTGATTATTTGCATATTATTACGCATATTACGTATACATTTAAATGTTTTAATTTATATTTTTAATTCGTATATACAATTATTATATATAAATTTATTCCATAACACAAAAATTGAAAATATTTTTAAAAATAATATAATATTACGTTTTCGTAGATGATTAGTTGCTAGGTAGGTACCTAATTCATTACATACTGGTTTTCCTATCGTATATTTTTATCTTATCTTCTTTGTCTAACATTGTCGCTAATATTACATAACACGGACTGACAGTTGACGATTGTATTCGAAGTGTACATTCGGCAATAGCCAACGTATTATAAAAACGTATCCATTTTATATAACATTGTTTGTAATTGTTACTATACAATACCAAATTGTCCATGTCTTTTTTCATCAATTTTTTATTAATTTTTATTTTTATATATTTTTACGCCTGACGGCAATTAACAAAGAAAAATACATAAATATTAGTAAGTAATAAAGATAACAAATTCGTAGTTATAAAATAATATAAGTATATAGCAAAAGTATTTAAAGGCATGCAAATACAAATAATATACATATTATTATCAAGCTGAAAACAAAACGTTGTGTGGTCCGTGTCTAAGATTTATTACATAAATGGTAGGTATGATAGTATTTATGGTTAGAGAGAGTTATATCATCATGGCACTCAACAAAAAAAATATTATTTTCATTTATTGACTCAAAGAGTGACCGTAATTCACAATAATGATATTTCGATGAACTTACACATCTCCCGTAACCTACTCATTAGTACCTTCTACTAAGGTGAATCCGTTATCTATTTTCGTTTCTAGTCCCGTGTTTCTATAGACTTGTACATCTGGACGGAACATTTAGTATGAAATCATATTCCAGTGGATAAAGTTTTATTTTTAGGATAGAAATACGTGAGATAATAATTGGAGTGTTTTAATAGTCTGTCTTTGAAATACACATTTACTCCCTCTCACATTAGGTTTTATATCAGTCTATCTGTCTTGATCCGTTCGGATCACTGCACATCTCAGTCCTTGGGGTAAATTTTCCATCTGGATGTATAGGTCTATGTGTGTATCATAGTTCACGGTAAACAGTTAAGTATCTACAGCACTATAGGTGCCAGGTTTTAAACATTTGACCTGGTGCCCCATAGATATCATGAATAACTTCCAACACCTTTCTTACCCCTGAGAAAAAAAAGTTCGTTTCACTTGCAAATAAATGTATTAATAATAATAATTTATTTAACAAGGAGAATGAAACGGGTAGAAGCTCAAAAATATAGTTGAAAAAACTTGGAGATTATATTTTAGTAAATCTCTTAATAATAAAGAGATAATAAAATAAAATAGTTTTGTATTATCCAGTCTAGTTTAATATATCAATTAGGTGAGAGTTTAAAATTACTGCTAAAGGCGAAAAGAAAAAAAAAATCCGCATTTGTTGGAAGTTTATTATATAAAACCATGTAGCCTTCGGAATAGTGGAGTATTTCAAATAATTTGAGCTGTTTGTTGGTATATAAAACAAATAGGTTGAGCGGTTATTGGAAGCTGAAATGTTAAAAGGGATATTTCATTACGAATCGTTAATGAAGCATTAATTTTAGTAACTAATTTATAAACGAAATAAATATCCACTATATCACTTCTAAAAGCAAAAGTTGGAATGTTTAAACTGTGTCTAAAATATTGCTATCAATTTTTGCTTTTAAAAATCTTGAGTCATATGACCATTTGTTTTATGCCATTGCTTAATAATAAATTATAAATAAATCATAATAATAAAATAATTATTACATATTTATTATTTAATTAATAAAATCGGTAATATTACCTAACACCTCTGATTTTTCAAACAATATATAAATCCTAGCTTTGCACTAATCCTTATATCTTTATTTTTTCGATTTATCCGCATCAAACGCGTCAAAAATATATATGTGACCATTATGTATAAAAACTTCGCTAGCGTAAAAAATCATCATGTTGAATTAGCAACTAGGAACCTTGTGAACTGGTCGCCGCCGGAAGAAAACTACTGCTGCTGCCGACCGATTGCCGATGAGCACCAGCCACCTCAGAAATTCTTTCTCACATTAGTACCATCACCGATCTAAATCAACCAGTTATTTTGAGGGATAACACTGGAACATCTGTCACTAACCCTCCAGTCAGAGAGTAACACCACCGACACTCACACTACTACATCGGGTGCAACACGATTGAGAACGTTTTACTTTTTTTATGACACGATTATGAACAAATGTTGCTTATCAAAGACTTTTTTTTCTTTAGCTAAAAAACGAACGATTGCCAACCTTTTTTTAGGTACATACATTGCTAAGTTTAAATACCTAGTGAATATTTTTCGAAGATGTTTTATTTTATTCCGAGATTTAATTAAAAAATTTTCTTTTCAAATAAAAACTATTCGATATTAATAACACTGTCACATTATAACTACGTTACAAACAAAATAAACGTTCCAATAAACTCCAGATCGTGACCCACCCGACGTGCTTACTAAGGCTACGTCTCGTAGATTCAACGATGGACAACGAACCTAACTTGTTTGAACGAACACGTAGCCGTCAAAACTCTCTAGTCTCTAATATGGTTAAGTACAAAATTCCCTTATTGTTGTAAATAGCATCACTGACGAGTCCGGGACGTCGACTTGATCGGCCGTCTGCGTTGGCCCCACCGGTCGAGCATAACCTCACTGTCACTCCATTGTAAATATCAAACATAATAATTAATCAATATAATCTAGACTTGATACCATTACAAATCCGTGCAGTTATTCCACAAGACGGCCAACTCACCGAGTGCGCATCATATCTACAAATAACAATACATATTTAGTAGAAGTAGGTAATAAAACATATTATATAAAAATAATAGAAATAAATTCTGTTTGTATACAAGCAAGATGACATGTGTACATTGTACACATGTCATTATAGGATTATTTTTTCATTCGTTGTCACCCAGAAAACAGTAAAAAAAAAAACACAATACAATGTACAGCGGCCCAGTAACACAAACTACGAATAAATAAATAAATAAATTATTAAATTGTCAATTAAATTAAGACATTTTACTCAACATCACCTAAAAAATATAAATACCTAATGAATATGGAATTACTGAAAGATAAAAAACAAGTTTTTAACAATAGTTATAATCTATATAATCTATACCTAAACATTACATTTAATTGGGGCAGAAGATTTGTATTTTTATTAATACTTTTTTGTTATCATCATCATTATTTATATGAAAACCAAAATCAAGATACATTGTCTTTATTTCATACAGGTACGTAATGTATATAATGATTAGGGCCCGGATTTATAAGCATTTGCATGTTTTGTTTAGACAGTTCAAGAAGTAACTAGATAAGCAACAAGTTTGAATTTGAATTATGCTCAATAGAACTGAAATAAAAAATTGTATTTGCATATTTTACTAATTTAGATTCCGAGCGTAGCGAGGGAGCTATTGGTTTTACAATTTTGTTTATTTTATATTTTTTCTCTGTTCTTTGTCCTAGTCTGTGGACACATTTTTTCCTAGTAAACTTGCTCCGATCTTTACAAACCGCAATTTTTCCTGAAGAATCAAGTTGATTAAATTGTACTTTGAAGAAGACATTTTTTGATTTTCGACGCCATTTTTTAAATAAATGCACTGAAGTTGGAAAGACTTAGAAAAACCTACAATTTCACGATTTCATTATTTTATAAAAACACGGATGATGCTTTTTACCAGAAAAAATGATTTAATCAAAAAATCACACAATATCTTTATTATTGCCTTTTTGATTTTCTTTCTTATGGTATTATCGGTAAAACTTTTGAGCCACTTTTGAGCTTTAAGAGAATTTACATTTTTGGGAGTTTTTTTGCTGTAATTCGGTTGTAAATTTACATAGACACTTTAAACTTGGTAATAATACTTATGTTGGACTTAACTAGACGTAGTAAAATTTCCAAAATCATCGAACGCTTTTTTTCCTTTTTTAAATTTTTTTACAATGGTACTTTATTTTTTTTTTACACTGTAGAAGTACACTCCGAAGTATAACTGTAGCATCTTTTCTGAAATTCAATTTTATCGACTTGGTAAATACATAGATTATTTTTTGATTTTTAAAACGGTATTTAAAATAAAAACCTACCACGTTTTCTAGCACAAATATGGTTCAAATTGAAAAACGACAAAAGATCATAATTTTGTTGATTTTTTTTTTAATAAGCGTTTTGAAATCAAATTTAAACGAAAATCACAAAAAAAAAATTACGTCACTTCAAATTATGTATTATTGAATTGTGCTCGGATTATCTTTCGACAGCAATGGTTTATCGTTGCTTATAGATGTAAATAAAATAACCTTTGAATACTAACTTCCCAACGTCCTACCAATAACAGTGGCTGCACCCGTCCCTAGTATTAGATCTTTTTTTTTTATAACATGCAATGCATTTTTTTTGTATGACTGTATTTCACAATTTTTCTTCGCATATAAATGGTTTTTAAATGCATAATATGAAATATTTTGGTTATATTTATATTAGTTTAAAAATAATGACAGAACTATTTTGTGTACTGCTTTTAAGATTAAAACATGTCGAAAATACCATTACAAATCAATTATTTGTACCTACTTTAAAAATAAAGATAGAAATAATAAAAATGTATGCATTTTTTTTTTTCGAAAATCGATTTTTTGTGCATATGTTTCATCCTAAAGGGTATATTTTTACAAAATAAGATCATAGATGCATATTTTATAGCGCATATTTCTAAGGTTTTTAGAGCATATAAATCCGGGCCTTTATAATGGATATATATATGAATATACGAATAATATATTTTATATTATTATCTTACTACGAGTGTACAATAGTACACAATTATTAGTCGCGAACGCATGCGCTCAAAACGTTCTTTGTGTAATCGGCTGTCAACAGTGCCTCTGAACTGGCCATCGGCAACGGCTGGCGGTATGAATAATTATTTTTTAAATTTCAATGAAACCCGTCAAACCCATCAAAATATCTAAAGCTATAGTATATTGTGTACCTTGAGATTACTTTGAGATTCACTTAAAAAATGTCTAAGTATATTATATTTTATTATTATTATTATTAATGTGATATTTAAAATTGGTAGGTAGCTGAAGATTTATAGGAAGAAATTTGGTTTCGAAGTTCCCATTGACTAACGTATCGCTAATGTAAATTACATAAAAGGTAAAGAAATGATTATATTCTACATTTGTCGCATTAAAATATTAAACACTATTATTATAGTAAATAATAATTATAACAAATACTTACATTCTTACATCACAATAGAAAAGTACTAAGTTATGCTGTCGCGGCAATCACCAACGTGCAAACGTACAATAGTGAATTAATAATTTTGATAAAAGAAGCACTGAATCAAAACACAAATCTAAAACACACAATTCCACTTCCAGTCGCGTGTCTGCAACGTTCGTGCGTTGTGACGTTGGCGCGATAACGCGGGTATTTCCAAAATATTTCGTCATCTAATCGATCTAAATCGTACAGCGGTTTACCATAAATTACATTTGCAGTTACTATGTAATAGTACTATAGTGTAAAAAACTGATCAGTAACAGGAATAACTAATAAGTTTATGTACAAGTATATTATTATCTTTGATCTCTACTCTATACAGGGCCGGGTTGGTATGTATCGGCCCATCGAGATTTTCACTTCTATGCGGCACACTTACATATTAACTGGCCCAAAATCACGTCTAAAACTGTTACAAGCTTATAGACGGCTATTAGATTCTGAGTGGACCGAAGAAGCTTATGGTTCTACAATGATGTTTTTTTTTTCTGTGGACAACTAAAAAAAAAAAAATATATATTACGGTATTTGTATATGCTATATTATATATTGTTGACAAAACATCACTATCAACTGAACTCCGCTCAGAATCGTTGTTTTCGCAAGCAATGGTTTATTGTTGCATACAGATATACATTAAATTCCCTTCTGTATTCTATCCTTCCAATTTCCCATCAACAACAGTGGCTGCATCCATCCCAATTATTCTATGATAGCTTTTTTAAACATTAATTTATTCGTCATGCACACTCACATCACGTCCAGCCCAAAATTTAAGCGGCCCACCGAAATTTTGTCAGTTGCTCACCTAACCAATTCTGCCCTGACTCTATACGTCTACGGTCTACATAATTCATAATACCTAATAATACTGTAAACACTATCTGCAATTCTAACATCAGTGACGACAATTTTATAAATATAATAACCTTGAAATTTCGCCGACTATTTCAAGTTTTTTACCAAATGTACAATTTGTTGACTGACAAAACATCTTGGACTGTTAGGCACCCCCCTTATTCCCCCGTTCGGAACGCCACTGCAGTGATATGAAGTTTTTTTTGTTCGAAAAACATATAGCTGTTTTAGGGCAGAGTTTTTATAAATTGGCACACAACGGTCAAATGCCTAATGCTGGCACTGGCTATAGCCCCCCCACCCCCGAAATGTCTTTCTCTGCTGATAAATGTTATATAAAACTCATAAAACCATAACATATCAACTCTGTTATCCTGCCAGAATATAGGTAAATAAATGTATGTTTTTACGGGTGATCAATATAAGATAAGACACTAATTAGCTCGAAAAGTATTAACATTAATCGGAATTTATTTTACAGAAATTCAAAGAAACAAGCAGCTCTAAAATTGTATACTTTCGTTATTTTTTCGTCACCCCAATATTTGGGAGTAAACCTACTACCTACTTTTGGGGTTGTCGAATGAATATTTACATTAATTATATTAAAAATTTCACGAATAAATAATATTTTTTCATTTTAGAATATTTTATTTCCGTCAACCCATTGACGAGGTATTCCATTTTTCAATTTAACATTTTGTGGGTAGGGGAGGATAGTGCTGCTCACTATTATAACGACGAACACCATGTTACTGTTCGAATATTTGTTATACTTTTAATTTTACTTTTTCCTTCTAGGGTAAAGATAAGTTGCAAAGGCGTACAAATTAACAAATAGATTTTATTTCTCCTTGATTTATTTTATTGTCAGGATATAGGTACCTTTTTATTGTTTAAAGGTTTACCTAATAATATTATATGCTATTATAGTGTAATTTTAGTTTTGAAATAACATTGCTTGTTCGTGTGTGAGTATTTTGAGACCAATTTCAGCAACTTTAAATCAATGTCTAACTAGTCTGAAATAAGGTTGTTTGAGAAAGTTGGTTGAAAATGTTATACATGTGGTGCTAACTTCATAACTTCAAACCAGATATCTAGGTTAGAATAAAAATGAAGAATGGATATTAGTAAAACATATCGAGCGGTGGATCGGATTGTTTGAACTATAATTAGTGGCGCTCCTAAGGATATCAAAAGTGGCGGTAGAGCAGGTTTGACGTGGAGGGACGCGAAAGTTAATGAAGGATAGAAGCGTAGGCGTGTCGCCAGAACCATCGATGAGGTTTCTGAGAAAGTTCAGGTTTCGCGTTCGCCAACGACCTAAATTTCCTTGACAATGTTAATAAACAAAGCGAATAGTAGAAGTGACACGTGTTCCTCTTGTGAAACACTTGAAGGTATAGGAAAGACTTTAGATTTATTTTAATTCATTTTCACCTATTTCAGACCACCAAACCCTGACTTCCTGAGAGTTAGGAGTAGTAAGTAGTAAGGCTTTATTGAAGTCAGTAAACAAAACATTCATCTGGCAATTACTTTCAAAACCTCGAGAATGAAATTGTTGAGGACCAACAAGTTCATCAGGGTTGAGCGTCCTGGTCTAAAACCGTATTGCTGCATCAATGAAAATCGAATTGACAGAAAACAGGATATTTTCGAGTACAAGTTTCTCAAAGAGCTTAGAAATATGGCTTAGGATAGAGATAGGACTGTAGTTTTTGACATGGAAATTAGCACCTGACTTGAAAATGGGGATCATGGAGCTTAGCTTCTAGATGGATAGAAATATCCCTTCAGTTAATAAACGCCTGAAGATTCACGACAGAGGGACGCAAATAAAATACCTGAGTTTATAGAGGAAAGTTCCCGGAAGTCCATCAGGTCCTGCTGAATTTACGTTTTTTAAATTTACAAGCGCAGAATCGATATTAGATATACTAATTGAGCAATTATTGAGTGACACAGATGGGGAATGTGAGGTCTAGTGTTGGAGGTGGAAGTGGAGTAAACTGAATTGAAGTACTCGGAAAACAGGTTAGAAATATCTTGTGGACCAGAGCAAATCTAAATTGACTTCGTTGGGAATAATATTTTCAGACCTGTGGTTTTGAACAATTTTCCACAAGAAGTTGGGGTTATTTTTAATTTAATTTAATTTTTATTTCATCTAAAAAAATCGATATTTATATTATAATACTTAAAAACAACACTATTTTCTAATTCATTTAAAATTAAATTCCTAATATTTTAAATTGATTTAGAGTAATGTAAAAAAAAAAATTGAAACAAATAGGTATAACTTAGCAGTAATTTATCATTAACATAGGTATTATTATTACATACCTACTATTTGTACACATGTTTTATTGATGTAAATAATATTTTGTTTAAACAAATCCATACGGTAGGTAATAGTTTTTAATCATTTATTTTAGGGGGTTTTGAATTTTTACTATTGTGGAATAACTCTATTTTTTTCCCAATTAAGTTATATAATATAACATATAAGTATATATACTTATGTATATATATATAAATATATATTTATGTATGTATACATATATAACTATTTTTTTTTTTAAATACTATTTATTATTAAAATAGCAATGAATACATAAATACATATATTAATATATTATTTAAATATAAGTAGTGCAAAATATTCCAGTGAAAATATTTTATAAGAAAAATATATTGAATTAACAAAATATTGGACAATTATTTTTTTATAATTATAATGAGGTTATTTTTGTACACATTATTAGTTAGCACACTAGCAATTTCAAAAACAGTAGTAAGTTATTTATATTAAATTAATTTCTTCAATAAAGTATTTTTTTAAATAAATATTATACATACAAGTATGTGTATTTAAATTTTTATATTTATGTATCAGTATAGTACACATACATACATTAAATTATAATATTTTTATATTATGTAAACAAAAATAATAAATTGAGGAAATTATACTTATGAACAACTTTTCTATCAGAGATTTTTCTCTGATGTATAGAGTGTAGCATCGTTTTGGAAATTAAGTTTAGTTAATACTTTAAACAAGTCATTTTTTTGATTTTTCAAATTGTATTCATAATGATTAGAAAAAATTGGGATAAACTTAGAAAATATAGAAAATTTAAGTAAAGTGTAAAAGAAATTTTTCTCCAAATCATTTTTCCTTAGCAATAGTTCATTGTTACTAACAGATATAAATTAAATTCTCCTTTATATCTTACATTCCCAATTTCTTACCTATACAAAAGTAGCCCAACAATCGTTTGAAGTATGTCCGTTCATTTTATTCTATTACTATATAAAAGAAAAATGAGATTTTCTTATATAATAAATAATGAAAGATAGACTTCGGTTATTTCTGAACCATACATTTGTGTTTCCCAAAATTGAAGATAATACGAAAATGTATAATATTTAAATAAAAGATATTTTCTGTTTAGGTGCCGATTATTTATATTTTAAAATAATACTGTACACTATTATTTTTTTTTTTTTGTCTGCAAATAAAATTATTGATAATATTATTCTATTGCAGGACTTAAAAATAATAATATTATATAAAACCACAAATTTAATTAAAATGTTGTTATTTATGTTAATAGGAAATCGTATAAATAATATCATATTTTACTAATTTCCGAAGATATTTAATAAAATAAAATTTCGGTTTTGCTAAATATAATGCTTTAATATTAATATATTTTAATATACATTTAGAAAGCCGTTACTTTTAGTTAGGTAGATAAAGGTTATAGTGTTTAAAATCGAAAAAAGACTGAAATATTCAAATTATTTTATTTCTTACGTGATCATAGTGTGATTAAATATTATCAAATATAAGTGGATTAATTATGAAGAGTAAAGATAAATAAGAATAATATTTATAAACTAATAAGTTCATACAATTATTTGACAATGGATTTTCATAATTTAACATATTAAAAGGAAATTATATTTTAATATAGATTTAAAGATGCAAATACACATAAAAATATGCACAGCAATATTATTTAGCTAATAACTATTTTAAAATTTATCAGTTACTAATATAATTTCAATTTTTAATTAAAGCGCACAGATAATCCACAACCTTCAGATCAAACTAATTTGGAATTGTCTGTTTCCAATGACCAGTCAAATTCATATCAAAACCAAAATTCACTTAAAGCAGATGTGACAAATGATGGTAAACATGCATCCTTAGACGCAAGTTCCCAAACAGTTCAAAATTCTCAATCGAAAAACGAATTGCATTTAAATATTGAACAAAGTGATACGGACTCAGACCCAAATGACAGTACAATTTCAAATAGTGCAATGACAAATGAAAATATTAATACACTGCAACAACAGAGCTATAATTTTAAAGAAAGTAATAGCTTATTACTAAACATGCAAAATAACAATATAGATAATGATAATAATAACTCCCCAGATAGCGGAACTGACGATTTAGAGAGTAATAATCCAACAGGTCAAAACTTTGGATTAATATCTCCACAGCCAGACGGAGCAAGTCCTCAAATATTAGGCAGTGGGATACAAACAAATAGTCCAACACAAGGACAAAACATAATGAGTCTAAGTGGAACAGATCCAAATTCAATAAATAACGCAGATGCGTATGGGCCCACTCAACCACGAGATTCTAGTTCACCTCAAGGAAGTCCAATCAATTATAATGACGATAACATTCCCACTGCAGGTGGAAGTTCAAATGGGAATACACCACCGAGTTCTGGAGGAACGACTAGTCCGGATTCCTCTCAAATTGGAAGCGGTAGCTTACCGATAAGTACGTCTCCAGGTGGTCAAAACGGATTGAATCCTAGTTTATTTGATCCAAATTCACCAAACGATGCAGGCACGTTTGGGCCCTCTCAATTTCCAGATTCTAGTTCACTTCAAGGGAGTCCAAACAATAATAATAATGATAACATTCCACCTGCAGGCGGAATTTCAAATGGGAATACACCACCGAGCTCTGGAGGCCCGGCAAGTCCGGATTCCCCTCAAATTGGAAGCGGTAGCTTACCGATAAGTACGTCTCCAGGTGGTCAAAACGGATTGAATCCTAGTTTATTTGATCCAAATTCACCAAACGATGCAGGCACGTTTGGGCCCTCTCAATTTCCAGATTCTAGTTCACTTCAAGGGAGTCCAAACAATAATAATAATGATAACATTCCACCTGCAGGTGGACTTTCAAATGGAAATTCACCACCAAGTTCCGAAGGATCGTCTACTGTAACTAATTTATACACTAAATCTTCGGAGTTAAGTAATTCAGAATATTTTAATGGTGGTGTGAGTCATTCAGAAAGCAGTCAATTTGAAGAAAGTATAAGTATAACTAGTGATAGTACTGAAATGGAAACTCAACAATATGTCCTGAATTCATACAGTAGCGGGAAATTTATTTGTGATGGCTATGGTAAAATTATTGGCGTTGTCTTTAATCATTCTGCAGATAGTGGTCAAGGGCTCGATACTATTGATTTGGACACAAATAGTGTTATTTGGGAAGATATTAATATGCTTGGGCTCGATATATATCAATTTAGTGGAAACGCTGGAAATTATGTAGGTGATAAAGCTGATAACGCATACACTTCTTCTAAAAATTCCCTAGGTGATGCTGCAAATTATGTAGGTGATAAAGCTGACAATGCATACACTTCTTCTAAAAATTCCTTAGGTGATGCTGCNGCAGGTGGAAGTTCAAATGGGAATACACCACCGAGTTCTGGAGGCCCGTCAAGTTTGGATTCCCCTCAAATTGGAAGCGGTAGCTTACCGATAAGTACGTCTCCAGGTGGTCAAAACGGATTGAATCCTAGTTTATTTGATCCAAATTCACCAAACGATGCAGGCACGTTTGGGCCCTCTCAATTTCCAGATTCTAGTTCACTTCAAGGGAGTCCAAACAATAATAATAATGATAACATTCCACCAGCAGGTGGAAGTTCAAATGGGAATACACCACCGAGTTCTGGAGGTCCGGCAAGTCCAAGTTATCCGCAATTCGGAATTGGTTTGGTACCGTTAAGTTATTTACCAAGTGGTCAAAACGGAGTAAATCCCAGTTTATTTGATCCAAATTCAATAAATAATGCAGGTGCGTTTGGGCCCTCTCAACCACCAGATTCTAGTTCACCTCAAGGAAGTCCAAACAATAATAATAATGATAACATTCCACCAGCAGGTGGAAGTTCAAATGGGAATACACCACCGAGTTCTGGAGGCCCGGCAAGTCCGGATTCCCCTCAAATTGGAAGCGGTAGCATACCGATAAGTACGTCTCCAGGTGGTCAAAACGGATTGAATCCTAGTTTATTTGATCCAAATTCACCAAACGATGCAGGCTCAAACGATGCAGGCTCGTTTGGGCCCTCTCAATTTCCAGATTCTAGTTCACTTCAAGGGAGTCCAAACAATAATAATAATGATAACATTCCACCTGCAGGTGGACTTTCAAATGGAAATTCACCACCAAGTTCCGAAGGATCGTCTACTGTAACTAATTTATACACTAAATCTTCGGAGTTAAGTAATTCAGAATATTTTAATGGTGGTGTGAGTCATTCAGAAAGCAGTCAATTTGAAGAAAGTATAAGTATAACTAGTGATAGTACTGAAATGGAAACTCAACAATATGTCCTGAATTCATACAGTAGCGGGAAATTTATTTGTGATGGCTATGGTAAAATTATTGGCGTTGTCTTTAATCATTCTGCAGATAGTGGTCAAGGGCTCGATACTATTGATTTGGACACAAATAGTGTTATTTGGGAAGATATTAATATGCTTGGGCTCGATATATATCAATTTAGTGGAAACGCTGGAAATTATGTAGGTGATAAAGCTGATAACGCATACACTTCTTCTAAAAATTCCCTAGGTGATGCTGCAAATTATGTAGGTGATAAAGCTGACAATGCATACACCGCTTCTAAAAATTCCCTAGGTGATGCTGCAAATTATGTAGGTGATAAAGCTGACAATGCATACACTTCTTCTAAAAATTCCTTAGGTGATGCTGCAAATCATGTAGGTGATATAGCTGACAATGCATATACTTCTTCAAAAAATTCCTTAGGTGATGCTGCAAATTATGTTGGTGATAAAGCTGATAATGCATACACTGCTTCTAAAAATTCCCTAGGTGATGCTGCAAATTATGTAGGTGATAAGGCTGGGGCTGTTAACGATGCCTCAAAAGAAGCTGGAAATTCAATACATAGCGCTACAAATGATTATGGTCATGATCTATATGATGCTGGTCATAATTTTAAGGAAAATGCATTTGGTTCCAGCGATGGTGATGTAACTAACAATGTGTAATTTTGTTTATATATATATATATATATGTATATATAACATGTTTTACTATGGATAAATACTTGTGTTGTTTCCTCTCATGGGCTTTACGATAATAATAATATAATATTATGATTAAAGATAAATTGTTGAATCGGTTATTCTATGAAATAACTATGTAATTTATAAAATATATATAATTTATACAATCCATACGTTAACTGATAGATGTTTTTTTTTTGATAATTTAAAAACGCAGCTCAAAAATGTAACATTATTTAATTTTTTGTCGACCTCATATTATAAGGCTTTTAGCATTCATAGAGGTACTAAAGTTACTAACCTATATAAAGAAAAATCCATAAGTAGTAGAAGTTTTAGATTGAATACATTTTGGAGTTGAAATTTTTAATTTCTGTCAGCCAGTTAACGCATTTTTTTATTCTTAAGTTTAGGTAGAGGAGAGTAATGGAAACCTATTCGAATGCCATGCGTAACACTACACACAAACTTTGCTTCAATACTCTCATATACCTATTTTTAAAAATGAAATATCTCTATTTAAACTATTTATTTTTTTAATCTTTATTACCTTTAAAAATCAAAATTGAGTTGTGGTTTCACACTTAATATAACAATAATGTAATATTGTATAGCTACTTATTTCTTAAATTGTAAAAAAAAAATCCGAAAATAATCGATAATAATAGTCTATCGAGGTTCGGTTATATATATAAAACATAGTATTTGAAAAAATAATTTTTTCTGTTTTTCAGTTTAAATTAACTTTAAAAAATACATAAAATCGTTTACATTTGCACATCTTATTACTTCTATTCGAATAAATGCAGAGTTTTTTATAATCTCATTTTATAACTGCTGATATGGATATTATGGACCAATACTTACAAATATTTACAGTATTATTTTCTTCTGCCCACTATGAACGTCGTTTAACCTCATTTTAGTTGGTTAGAGTAGAATAATAAGTTTGGTATATTAAGAACGAATGTATTGTTCCCATAGGCGTAGAATAGTTGGGGCCAATTGGGCTTTAGCTCCCCGGAATTTCGTTTAACATCTCCTGAATAAAAATGTACTGTTTTATACATTCATGTATGAGAACTGAAAAATTATTCTATTTTTTAGTTTTTAATAAAAATAAAAAAAATAAGTAAAATATCCATAAAATATTTTATTTAATAATTCGAATTTTAAATTATTCGTGTAAATATTATTAGTATATTACATCATATTAATATCGATAACAATAATAATATTTTCAATATTTTTATATACGTATAGGTATACTCGTATTGAAATATATAATCGATCCATAGTCTATAATGTTATCATTGTCCGCCGATGGATTTTCTAATATTTTCTATGGATTTTTTTTAAAAAACCATGTTTTTAAGAGAGTGCCAACTTACGAGAAAGTATGTATATTACAGACACGTCTCTGAGGAGAGGGTGAAGGGAGCGATCGCCATGTGATATTTTTTTTTATTACATAAAATATCCATAATTCGTAAGTACAAATAAGTACAAATGCAACAAGTTCCAAATACTATAAAGATGATTTCGGATCTTGGAACTACTTTGAAACAAGAATGAAATACTTTTCATTTATAAATGTTAATAAATATGCTCTTAAGGGTGAGATAGAATTATAGAAAACTAAGTGGAAACAGTCAATTTGAAAATATATAATAAAAAAAATATATTTTTAGAATAAAAATTGAAAATGATTAATCTATTTTTAAATTTAGATTCTGAATGTAGCGAAGAATGTATGTGAATTGCAATGATGTTTTGTTTTTTATATATATACTATGATAACAATTTTCTACCGAAATTCTTACTTCAATATTTAAGTGTAGCACCGATTTTGAAAAAATATTATCATATTGACATATTGAACTAGATGTAACTTTCGGAAGGTTTTTTTTTGGTTTTCCAAGCAATTTTCATATCAGGAAAACCCAGGATAAAACGTAAGAAAAACAGGAAAATTTACGAATATAATGCTTTTATAATTTTCAATTTCGGTTTTTGTTGTAATTCAGTTAAAAATATTCGTAGACTTGAAATTTGGACAGAAAACATATATTTACCGTTTCTTGACAAATTTTTGAGCAATTTATAGACATTTTAATTTTGCGAGTTTTGTACATAATTTTTAGGTACTCTTTAGATGAAATTATTAGTCCAAACAGAAATGCTTGAGAATTTAACATAAGGTTTATTAATATCGTACTTTGTGTTAAAAAAAAATATATAATCAGATGCTAACTGGCTTATCACTTTTAAATATTCATCGAAATGAAAACATTAATATAGAAAATATTGTTGATTATTATTTATTTAACGTGAAAAAAATAAATTTAACTTTTAAATTCTATTGTTTTACTGCATTTGTACAATATATCTGCTGTCTTCTAAGCTAATGTAAGTTGAAATGACATCAGCCATAAAGGTTTTAAGCTTTTGTAAACTAAACGGCAGTATTCAATAGTACAAATTGTTCGTCACCATGGAACTAACCCGAAGACTTCCCTGAGAAATATTATTAACTAAGCTCTGCTCAGAATCGTTTTTTGTTTGAAATTTATTTTGGCCCCCCCATAGTTAAGATCTGGAGACGCCCCTGTTATATTACCCATGTATGTGCCCATGAAAAAAATGTTTTTAGGGCTATAGTCTTCCATAGAAAACCATCACGCTACTTATGATTGTTATGTTGTTGTTCAGTTGTTCCATATTGCTATTTTACCGTCCAATACAATAAATGATCTAATAATGGTGACATAATTTTGTAAAAAATGATCAATGTATCGTACTGGTTATGTATGTTTGATGTATTATTAAGATTATGGTACCTACCGGCTAATAATACTAACCACCTATTGAATTTGTATTATTATTATTATTTTAAACACACCTTTTATAGTCAATTTCATAATGTTCACTATGGTCAGCTTTATTATTTTATATTTGTTTTATTATTATTATTAGTAGTATTCATATTTATTTTTAATATTTTGTTTTTAAGTTTGTTTTATTTGTAGGAAAAAAAACCATGCTTTGTATAATTCTTAAAATCATAATAACTCTATGCACAAATAAATAAATAAAATAATACTCAATTAATACTCAAAAAAAATTCAATTGCACATGGTAAACAATCTTCCAACCCCAATATAGACGTCACGACGTTACAAAATTCTCCAAGATTAAGCATCTAGAATTTTGTATAGTTGTTGTTTATATATTTACTAAATTTCGTAAGTTAATCAGAACTTGTTTTTTGGAATTAGTAACCCGAGACTTCTTTTCAAAAACAACCATGTTTTTGGAAAATATTTAGCACGCCCATCTACGTATAGCTTATGAGTAATTTGTTTTCTGTTTTTACACATGGATGAATTTCAAGTTCGACGTAGGCATATCGAAAAGTCATAGGATGAGGTACCAGAATTTCGTGTGAAAATCTAGTGATGAAAATGATTATGACAGATCACAAGCTAATTTTAGATTACAACATAAATACGGAACAACTAAAATCTAAGTTTTAATAATTTATTGTTATCCTACGCGACAAAAATATATTGAAAAAATACCTACGTGACCGATGTAAGGTTTTAATTAATAAATAATGTTTAGGTATAAAACTATTACACGTTACTTAAAATACCTATGCATTAAGTATTCTTTCTGATATTTTGATTTTTATATTTTAATTGTTTCAATATTTTAACCGGAATCAAACTGAAATTGAAAGTAATAACTTAAAACATCTATAAAAGAATTAGTTTAATTAATTGTTTTTTCCAATATTTTAATAGGTACATATTAGTTACTGAAAATACCTAGTTATTTCATAGAATACCATTATTCTATAATCTTACTGCAACATATGTGTATATATATATTAATGTAACCGGCAATGATAATATTTATACATTATTGAAAATAGCTTGTCTGGTTAGTACGGCTCTGATTGTTTTTATTAATATAGATATGATTTTTTTTTTTTTTATAATTATTTTTTTGTATTCATATGTGTATGCCTATAGCTTTAGGAACATTTTTTTTTTACACTATATAAATAAATATTACTGGTATTTTAAATAGTACAGACAATGATACAAACAATTTAATACAAATGAATAATTTGCGTGAATGAATAGTCATTGTCATTAATGAAAGGAAACAATGGCGTCAATAAAATCATTTCTCATTTTATAAAATTCAATATAATTTACGTAACCCAAGTTCCAGTATATACAGTTTTGGTTTTAATATAAAAATGTTCAGACAAATAATCTTAGTTAGAATTTTAAATTGACGTACTAGGTAGGTAAATATATCCAATTTTCAAAAGGGTGACAATTATTTATTTTAGCAATTTAAATAAAATGAAAAAAATATGTGTAGAATTTTATTTCTTTTCTTGGAACAAAATAGCTAGGCCAAGTTTATAACATATACCATTGATTGCACGACAAATAGTGTTGACATGAGTCAATTTATGAAATTTTAACATTATCTTTATAAATTATTATGCATTAATATAATAATTGGTATACTTAATATAGTTATTGACCAACTTAACCAGGTATTACATGAATTAAATAGTCAGTCACTACTCTAAATATTGATGGTAACATAATATGTTACTATAGTTGAAATCTTTTAATTTAAATTCAATAATATTTATGTTCCAGTTCAAATATTTTATTTCAAATTTATTTTAGTAATTACATGTATATTATTTGTTTAGAATTAAATAAATACACTTTAATAATTTATTGAGTACAGAGTTTATTTATTTTAAATATTAAATAATATTGATTATAATAAACTGAAAAGTTTAAAATCTTAGTAAATTATTTCAAACATTTTTTTTTTTTTCTTAAATCAACATATTTAAAAGAAATTTAATCTATGATAAGACTCATAGGTTTATTATTCGATTATTATGTAAAATTCAACTGTAAGAACATACTTAAAATATGAAATGGAAACGTATATATAATTTAGGAAATATTCACTACGAAAAAAGTTGTATGTAATAATGGAATTTAAATAACACATTGTATCAATTTATTTCTGTTAATATAAAATATATTTAAAACTATTTATATTGTGTTGCATTTTTATTTATTTATTAATGATAAAACAATTTATGGGCAGCATTAACAAACCAGTATATATTGTACAGTTTTAAGGTAAGTTATGGTCCTCTCACGTCCCCCCCCCCAATTAAGCAATGCGTATTATAAGTATAGCATTGAATGTTAATATTTGTAATATTTTATTTACTATTATTTTGTTCATTTGTTTTCGTACAACTGCTGAATCTCGATGAGAATACTGAATAGTATTAGTATAGCTCAGTACCTATCTAAAGATTAACAGTAGACACTCGTGTGGACAGTTGATATATTAGTAAAAATGGACGCGCAAGAAATATAAAATTATTACTGAAACTATTCACGGTCAATAGATTAATAAATTGTCGGAATCGTTAGAGTAGGACTTCTACTAATTTTCTCAATTCCCTCCTTTTTTTTTTATTATAATTAAATCAATGAAAAAATATGTAAACAAGTAAGTAGATACAATGCAATATAATAAATATGTGGATTCATCACCGAGTATAAAATTCTCACTTAGATTTAATACCTACATTCTGTCAGTATGCTTATAATGAAGGAAGGGAGTTTTGATTACTGATTATTATAAATAATTTGTTACTATTACATGAAAACAAGATATTATCAGAAAGTACAATTATTTTAGATAACATATAGATTATGATAAGAGCAGCTTAATCTAATTAAATTAAAATACTACAATTAAAATAAACTAAACTTAAAGAGATTCAATTAGTTGTATTTACTTAAATAAACACATTAATATAATAATACATTTTCTCTTTATGACCCAATTTTAATTTATTCAAAAATAAATTCTTATTTGTTTTATAAATTCTAACTTCTCAACGTAATCGATTCCAAGAGTAAAACTGGAACATCTATAACTGTTTGAAGAATTTAATCACGTGGGTGCAACAACTGTTGTAAGTGGGAAGTTGCAAAGGTAGGATATAAACGGAAATTTAATGTATATCTGTAAGCAACGATAAACCTTTGCTAACAAAAAAACGATTCTGAGCGATGTTCAGTTGATAGTATTGTTTTGTAAACAATATATAATATATCACATTATATTAAAATAAATTCATGTATATTAAACATTTTCTTTAATAAAATTTGTTTAATATTTTACCTTTTTTCCCATTTTTTCTCATTTTTTTTCGGTTTTTATTGAGAAAACTCCTGAGAAAATCAAAAAATTACCTCCCTAAAGTAACTAACTAGTCAAATTTCCTTTCAGAAAAATTGCTCTCATTGTAAAACGAATTAAAATTGTACGTAAAGAAGTTTTTTACTTATAAAAAAAAAAAAATAAGAATTAGCTTCTTCGCTTCACTTAGAATCTAAAATATAAATTTTGATAAAACAGCAAATTACTATAAAAAAAGAGCTGATACTGAGGACGTATGTGGTCACTGTTGTGGGTGGGTAATGGGGATGGTGGGATATATTAAGTTGTTTAATTTTTATCGGTAACCAACAAAAAACGATTCGGAAGTTAAGTTCGGTTATACAAGTATTGAAAGGCCGTCTCATTGTAAAACGAATTAAAATTGTACGTAAAGAAGTTTTTTACTTATAAAAAAAAAAAAATACTAAACAACTTAATTTTTTTTGTTGAAATAAAATGTATTTGTTTTTCTCCTGTTACCTATCCGATGTGGTTTTGGAAAAAAAATGTTCGGATCTCTAGTTTGAACTCATAACCTCTAGGTCAACCACAGGTACATACCAACAAATAAATTTAAGTGGGTACACTCATTATCTCAGAAGGTATTAAATTTTTTCGGAATTTGTTTTCTAGAATATTTACGAATCAAAAAACCATACTTTTGAATGACAACCTATAATCAAAACTCCATCAATAGATGGTATATTAGTTAAATGATTTTTAGTGTTAAAATTGATGACTTCTGACTATCCATTGACAAGATATTCCACTTTTAAGTTTGAATTGTAGGGAAGAAGTGCAGTATCATTTATGTGACGGTACTGCGTGCAGCATGATAATTTTTGATTTTGAAGACTACATTGCTCGAAGCAAATAACGAAAAGTTAACGAAAATAAACTCTTTAAGAATGCTTTAACGTGACGTAGATCGCATTTCAAAACGTTCCAAGTGGTTAATGGTATTGCCAATTGTTTCCGATGATCTTGAAAATGAGAAAAAACGTGTTCGTCTAATGACAATTTGGACTTGCCGTGTAGAATAAAATCTGTTAGAGATAATGCAGTCCAATCTTTAAAAATTGACATTAACCGGTCATCACTCGTACGGGGTAAATAATGACCACAGCTTAATTTTATTTATAATTTTACGAATGTTATTGTGAATATAAATATTCGTACATTTCTATTAATGTGTTAATAGATACAATGTAACCGGTTTTGTTTATCTTGGTTTTTCATTCAATCGGTAGAAGTGCATAAAATGATCGGCATCAGTATTTGGAAATAATTTATCCCATGTGGGTAATTCATTCTTATTTTGTTTTATTTTTTTTTTTATGATGTTTTTATCGCAAAACAATAAAAGTTTGCACGACATGTGTTAAATTAATATGCCATGATCATTTAATCGAAGTGTGTTCGACATGCTTAATAGGTTAAATAATAAAATATATTTGTATTTAATTTTTTTTTTTTAACAGTTTTTAATCATTTTTTTTATAGTATAATTTTATTTTATAAAAATGGTCTAAATAAAACTAGGAAACATATTATTTTCATCTAGGTTGATTTTAATTTATTTACTCATACAATACATATAAAAAACAAAACTTGGAAAAAAATACCTCGTGCGAGTAAATGTGACAACGGAAACAGTGCGAGGGACGACTAGTTAACAAATTTTGAAGATATTGTGAAAACTACGTCAGTTAATGTCGCAGTTCAAACTGATGAGCCATGTAGTGTGGAGAATACATTATCCGATGCAAATGATAAAATGTTACTGAAAATGAACGATTTGAAAATACACGGACGTAACGTTATCACATTTTAAAATGTTTCAAGTTGTTAACAGTATCGCCACGTATTACGGAAAATTTTGAAAATGGTTTGAAACGCGATAAAAAAATAAAAATCTATAGATATTTATTGAACAGTTTATTAATCATTACAATGTATAATGTTATTTGCACACAACATAATCATTTGTTTTTTTTTTTTACACCAACAGGTAGGTATATAAAATATAATATAACCTATGTATAACACGAACTATTTTTAAAATAAAAATAAATGACAATATTTTTATTAGACGTGTTGATATATAGTACCTAGCGTATGGGGCTAGCGACGAATTTTAAAAGCACATTTGTTTTTCACAATGTTATACATAAAAATTAATGAATTCGTGGCGGCAGTAAATTTGTTTAATTTTGAGTACAATATTTATTATTTTTTTATAGATTTGTAAACGGTATTTATTTATGAAAACTATAGAGTATTGATTTTACAGATTATTGAAAACGATTTTACGTGTGTGTTGTCAGTAATTTTAGATTTCGAGGGTAGCGAAGGAGCTATTGGTTTTACTAAGATGTTTATTATTATTTTCTTTCTTTCATTCTTCCTTTCTTCTAGTCTGTGGAAACTTGAAATCTTAAGTTGTTTAGATTGTACTTTAAACAAGTCATTTTTGATTTTCGACGCCATTTTTTAAATAAAAGTACTATAGTGGAATAAAACATAGGAAAACTTACAATTTCATGATTTCATTGCTTTATAAAAACATGGACGACGTTTTCTACCAGAAAAAAAGATTTAATTGAAAAATCACACGATACTTTTTTGTTGGATTTTTGATTTACTTTCTTGTGGTATCGTTGCCAGTACTTTTGAACTACTTTTGAGTTTTTAAGGAGTTTTAGGGAGTTTTTTGGTTATAAATACATGTATAGACTTGAATTTTGGAAATAATACTTATATTGAACTTATCTAGATAGTATCATTTTCAAAATTATCAGATGAATTTTTGTTTTTAATAAGCATTTTGAAATCAAATTTAAACGAAAATCGTAAAAAAAAATTACGGCACTTTAAATTATGTATTGCTGAAATTGTCTTTCATCAAGTAATGGTTTATCATTGCTTACAGATATAAATGAAATGCTCTTATGTATCCCACCTTCCCAACTTCTCACTTAGAGCAGTGGCCGCTTGTATCCCTAGTATTAGCTCATTTTTTTAATTTTGCGCTTACGATCGAGTATCTGCGTTGTGCTACACATTTTCATTTAAATTACACTAAATTCGGTTTTATTAATAATATATTGCACTTATTAATACCTATACAGATTAGGGTGTAAGCTTGAAAATTTCTTGTTTAGTAATTGCTTCTCGTCATCTCATATTTGCTAATTTCATCAATCACCTAGCAACCTGAAGGCATAATAAAAGTAAGTGCTGGCTTCAACAGTGAATGTTGAATATGCCATTTATTTTACTGTATACATATATATATATATAGTTGACGACGCAACACAATCAACTGAATTCCACTCAGTATCGGTTTTTCGTTAGAAATATTTAATTGTTATGTACAGATATACATTAAATTTCCCCTCTACTACCCTCCCAACTTCTAACCTATAACAGTAGCTGCAATTGTCGTCATTATCCAAGGACATTTTTTTTTTTTATTCATTGCATTTTTTTGTACAGTAATAATTTTATTGTTTTCTGTTATCTATTTCAACTATTTTTTTAGCATGTAGGTACAATATTATAATAATAATCCACAACGTAATAAAAACGCTTTCGAGCCCTGAATAAAACACTCATAAAAAGTAAATTCATGATTTCATATTTTTGAAGTTTTTATAGCGCCATAAGAACAACTTTTGATGAACCTTGTATACACTTTTCAAACATTAAGAGTCAAAAAATGTATGTTCAAAAAGAAACAAATACAAAATTTAAAAAAAAAGAGTTAATACTGCTGATTGGCGTGCAACTGTCGTGAGTGGGGAGTTGGTAAGATTGGATAATAATGTTATTTAATTTAAACCAATAAGCAACGATATACAATTACTAATGATTGCGAATTTGAACGAAGTTCTTAATCATATTTTTAAATGTCGAAATATTTACGATTTTTGTTTGAAATGATCTTAAAACAAATTTAAAAACTATTAAATTACGCTCAACTATTTTTTAAACAATTTTATTCACAATATCACCCAAGAAAAACCAAAAAAATTCGAAAATGTCAAATGCATATAAAAACCTGAAACATTGCAAGAATGTTTTTACAACAAGAACATTTTAACATATTTAGAAAAAATTATTATTATATTTGTAAAGAAAAAACTAAAAAAAACCTCAAAAATATATGTAAAATATAAAAAGTACAGAAATATTTTAAATATTTAATCAGGTCTAGAAAAGCCCAATAATAATAAGAAATAGTTTAATTTGAAACATCAAAAATTATACATTAGATAAATAATATCAGTATACAATATTACAGCACCCCCGATAAGTAAAGCTTTCGCTGGTGTAAAAAAGTTACAATCCAATTAAAAATAAAGATATGATATTTATAGATTAATCAAAGGTTAATCAAAGCAATTAAATTACCAATATATAATTACCCTGTACACAATTCAGTATTATACTAATAGTATTAGATGAATTATAATAAAAACAAAAAACGAAGATAATAATATTATTATCACAGGAAAATTCGCTGTCATTATTGTCTGGCACCGGTCGAAAATAATATTAATTTTTCTTTTGTTTTTTTTTTACGCTATTTTTCTATGATATTATAATTTTTTTATTACAGTATCGTAGAAATATTTCCGAATTATTTCCCCCGAATGCGGAAACGTTTGGACATGAGATGCGAACGTTTCCACAGCGCCGACTTGATAGTGCTCTGCGATTTTAGAGCCCGCGTCTCCAGTCACAATAGTTGCCGAAGAGTAATTGCCCACATTATTTAGAAAAATAAAAATAAAAATAACGGATTAAGAAAAATAACGTTGTGCTGTAAATATTTACTAAGCGTATTAGAAAGTGAAAAAAGCAAAATATAATATTAGAGTTGAAACTGAAGACGGATGCATCCACTGTTGTAGGTAGGAAGTTGGAAAAGTAGGCTAACGAAAAACAATTCTTAGCGAAGTTCGGTAAAACAATATTTTGAAACACCGTATTTTTTTTACGATTTTCATCAAAATCTTATCAACATCAAATTCGTTTGAAAAAAAACCTACTACACTAAACTCAACATTTTATTTAACTACTACTAAGTACAACTGATAATGTACCTTGTGTTCAATTTTCAGGCATTTCTCTACATCTCGTTTTACCTACCGAAAAAAAATACACAAAAATATTAAACACCTTAAAAAAGCCTGAAACAAGTTGGAATATTTTGAAAATTTGATAACGTCTGTAAAAAACCAATATAAGTAGTTTGTGAAAATTATATGCCTCTTTAATAACTTTTAGCCTAATAATAACAAAAAACCCAAAAGCCGTATTTCCTACATTTTTTTTCTGGTTTTTCGTAATAATTATTTATGAAACTATACGGAAAATCAAACAACGATTTCCTTACTCATAAAGTAGACAACATTTTCTTTCAGAAAATATGCTCTTCTTGAAATTTGGACAATGATTTCTAGTAGAAAAATATAGGTAATCTTAAACATTTTAAATAATTAAATCGGCGTGCCGAAATTAAAAAAAAAAAACTAATTTATCATCTTGGTTGGTTTTTACACAATTATTATCAAATGGTCAGGTTATCTATTTTGCATATGAAAAAATTACTTTCTTAATCAATGGCTATGTATCAAATAAAACAAAATCAATATCTTTTATATTTTATATTGATGTAATATTTCTGATAAAAAACATACGAGTATGTTGCAAAAATTAAAACCATTAAAAACGGTAACGCCGCGGTGCGCCGTTAATTAATTCCAATTTTTCCCAATTATTTTTAAGATCCCTAGGAAAATCAAAAAATGATCTGTTTAATGCACCAACTAGAAGCAATTTCCATTTAGAAAAGGTACTACATACCCTATACAGGAGAAATATTTCCAATATAAAAGTTCTTTATAGATAAAAAATAAAAAGAGCTGATACTTGGGATGAAAGCGGCTACTGTTGTAGGTGAGAAGATGAGAAGGTAGGATACAAAAGGTTATATCATTTATATCAGTAAATAATGATAAACCATTGCTTGACGAAAGACGATTCCGAGCGCAGTTCAGTAATATACAGTTTGAGGTGCCGTTATTTTTTTTGCGATTTTCGTTTAAATTTGATTAAAAAAAAAAAGTCGTCTGATAATTTTGAAAATTTTACTACGTTTAGGTAAGTCCAATGTAACTATTATAACCAAGTTTCAGGTCTCTACGTGTATTTATATTCTAATTACAGCAAAAAAACTCCCAAAAATTAAAATTACTTAAAAGTTCAAATGTAGCTCCAAAGTTTTGACAATGTTACCGTAAAAAAGTAAATCAAAAAGGCAACAAAAAAGGTATCGTGTGATTTTTCGATTAAATTTTTCTTTCTGGTAGAAAACGTTCATCACATTGCAGTAAAACCAATATATCCCTGCTACGCTCTAAACATAAAATTCAAACATATAGTAAAAGCGACACATTGAACCTAAGAATTAATATTTGAAAATATATATGTGAAGAACTCGAAAACTTTGAAAACTATATCACGTAAAAAAACCAATTTTATATGTAAATAATCCGTGATGATTTTTCTAGGTATTATCCAATATTGATAAAACATAATATACACTACAAAGCAGGGGCTGGTACCTTTCAGTGTCTACCTTTCCGGTGATTAATTGTTTTATTAAGAGGTTCCGGTTCCGTTTTACGTTTTGAACAATTTGTATTTAAGGGTTTTGGTTCCGGCTCCGGTTTCGGAAAAATAATTTAAGAGCTTAAGTTAGGGTTCTAGTTAAAACCAGTATTAAACGATTCTAAAATTGTATATATATATACACATATATTTATTCATTCGTGCACGACTTTTTGGTGGTTTAGTGTGTGTACAATGGCATGTACAATTTATGAGCGTTGTTCGTGTCATCTACGTAAGGGAACAATACCTGCGGACGGTGATTCCGTGCACACCATGAGTAACTTTCCCATACACAGTCCCCTGTCGATGACCTCACAACTTGACAACCTGATGCAACTAGCTGTTGGAATGACGGGGCTGAACCAGTATGTTGACGTATTACAGAACCCTAATTCGCTGCCGAAATAGTGCGCGTTTGTCATTTATTGTTAATAGTCGATAAAATAATATACTGTTGTAGTTTAATAGTACTTATAGATTATTTGTATTTTAACTTTAATATACAAAAATAGAGTTCATAAGTCATAAAATCACTCAACATGATGCCACAAGAAATAAACAGCTCTAAACAAAAATAAAAATCGTTTATCAAAGCAATCGTATTTTAATTTGTGATATACGTAAGCATTATAGCCGATAAATTGAGCATAAGCCACGGAGGAAAGAACGAAACAATGTACCATTGTAAAACCCGCCTTTTTCAGTTCAAAAATATGGGTTCCGGTTCCGAATATTATAAGGGTTTTTCGGTTCCAGAACCGGTTCCTCGCGGTTTCTGCTACAAGGAATATAAAATTGACCTTGTCAGCGAACTGACCAAACACAATTGGCCGACAGAAACTTAACTTGAAACCTAACCAAACCCAGCGTAACTCGGTTCGGCGGGAGATTTCTCGTGGAAAAGTTCCAAACAAACAATGCGAAAATCAAAACGCGCATAATAAAACCAATATAGATTTCTGACTACGCGCGCAATTAAAACGAAAGAAAAGCGTATTGTCATAGTAAATAACTGTGCTGAACTGTCACACAAAATTCAGAAGACCCCGAACGAGAAGATATAATAATAATACGCGTATAAGTAGAATATTATGATGATTGACTTTATTGTACCACTGCCATCACATACGGGTTGCAAATCGAGTTGCAAAGTTTCCGAAATAACGGTTCGTCAGACTTCTTAACTAAATTAGCGTCAACCGTTATCGTCATCGCCGCCGTCTTCGCCGTTGTGGGTGGCTCGTGCGTGGGTCCTGCGTTCGGTGGCGGATTCACCGGGTTGGCGGCAGGGGTGGTTGACGGCCGGCGCGTGCGTGTGCGTGTGCGTGTGCGGCGGCGGCGGCGGCGGTGGTGGTGGCGGTGGTGGTGGTGGTGGTGGTGGTGGTGGTGTATGCGTGCGTGTGCGGGGAAATCCGTTTTTCGTTCGCGGTCGGGAAATCAACGTGCCAGTTTTCCGACGACGTCGGTCCCGATCGCACGCCCGCCGCCCTGATCCGCCCGCCGAAACGGGTATTGGTCGCGTTATGACGGTCCCGCGAATTCCGTTCCATCCGTCGGTCCACGTCTCATAACATAAACAGCGTCGGCGCCAGCAGCAGCAGCAGCAGCAGCACGATAATTCTACGTCTTCGGCATTCGACAATATCACAACCGGTCTTCCCGTCCGTCGAGTGTCGCCCGCGCACAGCCCCGAGGAGTCACGCCATGGACGCGCAGACGTACGCGATGGCCGTGGTCGTATCCGTCGTGGTGGTCACGTGCGCCACGGGTCCGGCCATGAGTCGACCGGACAAACTAGGTGCGTATAACGGTGCGGCGGTCATTTAGGTTAGGCCCGGCGAACGGCGCGGCAGCAGGTAATACCGCCGTGTGATGGACGGGACGCATACGGGGATTATGCGCCCCCTACGTATTCGACGGCGGTGCATCGTTAATCGTCGGGTTCTTGTTCAAAACCGAACCGGTTGATACATATTTTTCTCGACAGTTGTACGCGCCGAAATCGCCTATAGCTGCAGATAACAACGACACATTGAGCAGAAATTTATCTTTGTGCATATACCGCGCCATTCATATTGTAGTGTCGACCACGTGGTTCGACAGCTGTAGGCTTTCTTGAAAATCACGTTTCACGACCGTATTATTTACGTAGGTATACCTTTGGAACGGACAATTTTTTTTTTTTTTTTCAAATTCCGAGTACACTCGAAAAGCTCTTAGTACATAATACAATTGTCTCGAAATAATCTGTTATTTCCTTCTCACCCCCTCCCACGGAAAACACTTTTTGGAACAATAAAACGATCAGAAATTCTCACCTGTCAATTTAATAGATACCCATGAACACTGTTGAATTTCACTATACTACGAAAGTCGGTTTTTCTATTTGTTTTATTAAACTATATTATGAAAAAAAAAAACTACTGAAAAGTCACAGAATTTACACTGGTTTTCAAAAATTAATTTTAGTTTTTTTTTTTATTTATTTTACACTGATATTACTATACCTATCCGTATAATATTAGCTCTGCGGGTAAAAATTATTGGTTAGGTTTTATAATCCTAACCAATTTTATAATGATAATTTTATATTTATTTTATAATGATTTTAAGATCAAATTTTGAAGAAACTCCTAAATATTATGATATTACAAAATATGTATAAGAATTTTGTTCCAAATCGTTTTTCGTTAGCAACGGTTAATCTTCAGTGTTGCGCAAATATAACTAAAAATGTATCTAGATAAAGATATAATATAATTAAAATTTAAATTATCTAGATACAGATAAAAGATAAAACAATATTTATCTCGATAAAAAAAAAAAATGAAATTGTTTTAATTTTATTAATTAATCTACAATATTTTAGTCGATTTATATTAGATTCTACAATATACAATTTTTATTAGAAATAACACAAATAAGCGCCCCGGATAATATTATTACCTATTTCTATATGATTTAAATTTTTTTCTCTATTTGTACAAGGTTGGTTTTCTAATGAGACATGGGTTTTATAGACGATTTTTTTTTAAAATATATGGTACACTTATTTTTTAAGATCAGACTATAAAATATACAAGTTTAATAATTTTTAGTATTGTTAAATACCTGAATTAGGTACTTTGTTATCTATGGTGGTTAAATGTTTGATTTGTGTTGTTTTACTTGTTTTCAATGGTAAATAAATTTAAAACTTAAATTAATCATCCCACGAATAAATTTATTTTAATAAGTTTAAAGTAATATATTATTATTTAGTGAATTAAAATCTTGTCTAGCAGTATTAAAATTTCTAAAATTAATTGTAATGCAATAATGTACACTTCTGAGAGACTATTATATTTATAGAAACCTATTATTTTTTTAATACCTTATCATTTGTTTTCTTTTTTAACTAATTTAATTTTGTCGATAAAAGAAAATACGGCGGTGCATCGTGAATAACTGCATTTTCACTATGGGAGAAATGTTATAATTACAAATTGGCAATTTTTTGAGTTATAATTTTAAAATCGTCTGATATTGCTATTTTTAAATAGTTACCAATAGGTATTAATAATAATAATATGTTATTATTTTAATAGTGGGTATTTTATTAACTATTTAAATCTTGTGGTTTTTTCTAATAATCAATTTTATTTTGAAATAAATATTCTAAAACGCACGATATTTCTTTTAGTGTAAATATTTAGAGTGTTTAATAATTTAATAGTCTAATAGTGTACCAATATCAAATTATTAGGGCATTTAATGTTCAGATAAGATAACCAAATGGATATGCGACGGAATGAAATAACAATTGTACGCGTGTAGTATTGTTTAATATGCAGGAGTTGATAGTCCTCTAATCCTTGAATGCGTATACATATAATAATCTGTTGATTCAATATTCGATGTCCGTACAAAAACATTTTCAGAAAATAATCCCTTTTCAGAATATGCAATTTATTAATTAGAAGGTATCGTTCGGGAAACATAAATATTCATATAGTGTCATGGTAATAATAATATAATATTATATTTCGATTAACCAACAAATTAAAAATCTTAAACATAGTGTTAGTTCGGTCCGCGAATAATGTTATTATAAGTATCTATACCATATAAAAAATATTGTTCTGCGTAGAATGTGTGGTTGAAATAGCGTGGCGACGCAAATATTGTCTAATGGACAACTTAAAAATAATACATATTGCACGTATATACGTTTATTATATATTAACAAGTTTTTTCAATCGAACAATTTCAAATTTTAATATTTTATAGTGTATAATATAGTAATGTACCTAGATGCTACAGAAATATAACATTAACATTTATAATTTTAATGGAAACTGCGTAGTTTTACGAGAGTACCTATACCTACTCGCAAAGAATGGGATTGTATAATATTAAAAGTACATGCTGTTCATTTGGAGTATTACAACTTACAATATGTACGCATATAGCTGTGTGTTATTATATTAAAAACACTGAAGTAGAATCGTATATTACAAATACATACCTATATATAGTAAGCAAAGGAGTAGGCAGAGGTATTGTTTTGTGTTAACGCAGTGATTCAAATTTGGTTGTTAGTTTTTGTAAAATTGGCAAGTGAACTTTTTCAAAAGTTTTTAGTTTGTACTTATTGCTATAAAATGACAGGGAAAAAGTCGTGAAGCCCTTGTACACGTTTTTATTGTTGGTACATTTTATTGAAATTTCGGGTTTTGAATTATTCAACTGAATGTATAACAATATTCGTATAATATTATGAAGAGTAAGGTTTTGAAATTAATGACAATGAATTTCAAGTTCTTTAATATATTGTGTGCTTTTATTTGCTAATTTTTTCACGGAAGATTTAGTATACCAGTCTGTCTTTAAACAGTGTCATAGTCCTCCGAAATCGTTTGTCTAATTGGATATTTTGGTTGTTTTGGTGTATTACAAGTATATTTGTATAAAAAAATTGTAATTCCATCTCTGAAATTTTTCCAGGTTACGGTACTGATTTTACACAAAACTAACTAGTGCCTTCATTGTAATGGTATCATTCGGTGCTATTTTTGTTTTTTTAGAAAATTAAACTATCAGTAATATCAATTATAAAATGTATTATTTAAAGGCGGAATTGTAATATTTTATGAGCTTGAAAATTATATAGCTTTTAAACAGCTTCAAATCTATGTTTATATCCTATATTAATGTCAGCTATAAAATATAAAACAAATGCGTTCTCGGAAATTGTGTAGTATGTAGGTATATTTTATTTTACTAATGAATCCAAATTAATGAACATTTCACATTGCGTACGAGCTTTTAAACTCGTTATTATTATTGCTTGTCACTTACATTTTTGATACGTAATTACATGACATTACCGTGAAAAAGGGATGACACTTCGATAAAATACATTAAAGGTCGCCCAATTAAGTACCGGCTGCAGTACTCGCCATGGCTTAACCGACAAGACACGGCGATTCACATTATTGTCACGCCACATTGTCATTCCATTAATCTCGGATTATATAAAAGCCATTTTTCTTCGGCACTTTTGAATAGCTACTTATACAAATTAAATCGTTGTGATTACACGGCTAACTATTGTTTACGTTTGACATAAAAATAATACAGTTATTAAAAATACTCGATCGATAATTTTATATTGTTATATGTTTAAAATATGCATTATACTTTACATTATTGTTATTATTAAATTATTCGCATAGTTACGTTTTTAAGTACCTGTTTTGTATTCAAAATATTAGCTCTCAGGCATAAGTAGAATTTTGTAATATTGTAAATAAACGGGAATTAAGGAAGGGCAATTTATCCACGGTAAGACATCAATTTATTTGGAAAGTAATTATAATATTAATTTCATTCAAGTTTTTTTTTTTTTTTTTAAATAATACGCAAATTTAGAATACGAGTAATTACATATAATATTATTCATTATGTGATTTTCATAATTTTTGTTTTATACTCATATAGATACACTTTTGATATAGAATGCGCTTTTTTCTGTTAATGTTTAATTTTTTTATGGGACGTTTTACGTGGGGATATCTGCATATTATCATCGATCATAACTTATAGTTATATATATATAGTAATGCATAGTAGTATTTTAACCGTTTTTCTGTTTTTTTGCCTTATTCTTGATAATTAATAATTTAAAACATCCTCATTTTATTAATTATAAAAGGCGGGCTGAACACGCTTTCTGAAACCTAAATCCATTTTATGCATGGAAATATAATAAACCTTGTGTACGTGTCCACATTTAAAACGGAAAGATTTGAAAAAATCGTGGAGAGTTATGATATCTCTAAATGGAGGACGATAATGCAAGTGGCTGACAAGGAGGATTGAGAATTCGTGGACGGTATACTCCAGTAAAGGTTAATAACTGAAAAAAAAATGAAACGAACTTTATTATAGGTACTAGTTATCAATTTTTGATTTATATTAAACAAAAAGATAACTGTGGTGGTTTTTAAAACACTTAAACTTTTAAGCAACAAATATATCTAGCCAACAGGTTGATGAAAATAAAACATTTCAATTTTCAACACTCAAATTCGTTCCAATTAAAACTTCGTCAATTGATGGTATTTTCACTATAGGTTGCCACTCGGAGGTTAAAAATTGGTAGTTATTTCACCACCAACCATTAGAGTAAAAACGGTAGGAGGCGACATAACATTATTATAGAATCACATGTATTTTAAATTGTTCAAAAAGGTAATCCAAATAAGGTCAGTACTTTGATGATGAAGGGGAAAAAAAAATCACCATGTATATAATAAACAACCGTGTTACTGTTATTATTTGATTTTTAGTTCACGAATATAAAAAGCATATTCGTATAGGTATGTATGT